CAGTCCATATGCACAGAAATGGAAATCTCCCGAGGTCACGACCTCTTCATCACGAGCAGAACTTAAATCCAAGATCCATCCATCCGACCTCAAGGAGGCAACCGAAGCAACACATTCTTCATCATGGAGCAAGGTGAATACGAAGGAGAAGAAGGTTTTTGGGTTGAGGATGAAGAAGGACGCGAAGGATTCATGTCGAGCAATGATGAAGAGACGTCTTGGGTCCTCGAGGAGAACGATGCGTTCATAACGAGAAAGTCTGGGCGGAAATTCAGATTCAGAAAGGAGAAAGGAAAAGGGAAAGCAGGAAACAGAAAGGGCAGTCGCCGACGAGGTGGCTTCGGACCCTTCAAGAAAAGCGGTTCTGGCGGGAAGGCCGATATGGCCAATGAAGACTGATCCCTACGGCCAGGCATGTTGGGAAAAGGCAAGGGCAAGAAGGGAAAGAATGGAAAATCGAAATTCCAATACCTCTTTGATAAACAAACCATCCTATGACAATTGCAAAGGAAAAGGCGGACATGACAAAGGAAAATTCAAAGCGTTCGCAGCCATCGCAGAGAAGTTGGAGGAGCATCCTGCCACCCCGCAAGTTGCTGAACTTCAAGAGCCTACCTATGCCGGTTGGACAGACCAAGATTGGGATCAATCATGGAATTGGAACAAACAAGGCTGGTACTCATCCGCATGAGAAAAAGGCCATCCACGAGAAGCTGATCCAATCCGATACCCTATGCAATCCTGGACAACAGTTGCATGGGTCCAGCGTTTTACTCCGGCCATCGAGGACCAGTACATCCCGGCCGAGACCAAGTTCACTGTTGCCAAGGGAGAGACAGCTAAGGTAAATTGGACCTTACATCTCAGATATCACACGACACCTCCATGCAATACCAACATCGACATCCTTGAACAAGGCACCGTACCGATCCTCCTGAGCATCAGCCAGATGCGGAACCTCTACAAGACCATTGAGAACACACCTCAATGTGACAAGATCTGGGCCTTTGCCATGGACCGTCAAGCAGTTCCAGTGTCCGGCACAGGACATGCACTAGTCGATCTTGCTGGAGTGGCAATGGGAATCATCCAAGAGTGAGACTGTTTGTGCATCCAAGTCATCCGAGACGAAGGAGGAAACAACAGATCATCGGGTCTCTGAAGCAGGATCATTGGATTCTTGCACATTACGCCTCGTAAGGCACGGTTCACACCCAATGGAGCAAAATAATGTCCAATCCATCCTGATAACATCAGCCGAGAGCGTACATCGGAAATTATTGATGCGTCCAAAGGCGGAGATCCAGAAATCCAAGGCCAACAAACCAATGATTAGCCTGTGGAAAGGTAAGACCATCTTCACCTTCACGGACAACTCGCTCAAGGACGAGGAAGTAGGTTCAGGATTGGCAGCAGATAGGATATTGACAAGAAGGGAGTCGACGATTGAGCCCATCCACTGAAGAACCCACATCACCCTTGGAACTTGCATTTGGAAGACGACCAGCAGATCTCATCCAGCTTGATGTCGCAACACTTACTCAATTGACGATCGACAGGAATGAGGAGCTTACAGCCATCCAAATCAAGCAGCTGTCCAGGCAGGCATTCCAATAAGCTCGTCAATCCGAAGACATCCGACGAGAGCTTGCTCAGAATTCCCGAATGAGTTCTAAACCTCTTCAGGCAAAGGACAAGGTATTGTACTGGCAGGAAGACAAACCCAAGACCCGTTCCGATGGAAGCAAGGGGGGTTGGCTAAAAGGAAGAGTCATTTCCTTGCAAGGAGCAATGGTTGGACTTGATCTCGGAACCCGACTCATCAAGGTCAACATGACAAAGGTCAGAAAGGATGAAACCATCCCTCCGGGGAAACCTGCGATTGATTTTCTTCTACCAGATGAGAAAGAATCCTTGCAGAAGGAACAAGGCGGCTCTTCAGCCGACTTTAGGAGAGAATCATCCATACCAACTCCGAAGCCAGCATCCTCTAAGCCATTGCGCATTGCGGGGAAGACGGCTCCCAAGCCTGCAGCACCTCAGCCAGCAGAGAACCTGTTCGTGGAGGACCTCACATCCATTCCTGAACAAGCGCATTGGAACTGTGTACGTAAAGGAAAGATCCACGTTCTTGACATCTTAGCAGGTAGTGCCAGATTCAGTCAATGCTGCGCACTTACAGGGTTCAAGGTTGAGACTCCCGTTGACACCCGCAACGGATTCGTAATGACATCCAAGGGACGACACATGGTCATGGAGATCATCAAGGAGCAAGCGCCTGATGTCATCCTCATGGCAGTGGACCATGGTCAAACATGCAGAACATCCAACAAGACCAACAGAAGGTCTGGGAAAGCAGAAGCGCTACATCCCGATGATTGAGTTCGTGGCATCCACTGCGCGGTATCAGTTGAAGCACAGAAGATACTTCATCATTGAAAATCCTCAGACATCCAAGATCTGGTATTTGCAATGTATGCAGCAACTATTTTCAGTCGTGGTGTTGCGTCTTCAGCATCTCATAGGTGTAATTCTCAAGTGTTATATTCCTCACTTGTCAGCCTTTCTCTCTGCTACAGCTTGCTCTGGATGATGAAAAACTGCGCTATGAGATTACCCCCAAAAGCAAAAGCGTCCCGTTGTCTTTGCCGCATTCCCTGGATGAAGTGTGTGAGGACTACTGGATCGTCCTCTTGGAGTGCAGCAGGAGGCGGGCTCTGGCACCGGCGGCTTGCTGATGTCGAGCCAGGTTTGCGTCAGTACTGACTGTCGAAATTCTGGAGACTGTGCCATGTGAGAAGGATTTAGAATTTTGATGTGAATGTGAGGAACTCGGTGTTCTGCCTCCTGTGATTGAAGAAACTGAGGAGCAAGTAAAGATACACGTGTTCTTGAAATAGCTGACTCCTTCTTCAGGATCTTGCAAACAGTCGTTCTGGAGGACTGCCTTCAGCCACAAGTTCTTCTTTTCCGTCGTACGATGGCGGTTGCTTGAATAGGCCTCCACCATGAAGCCTTCTCCATCGGATGACATTGCTTCTGGATCCTTGCGGAAAACCCGCTCCGCTACCACAAATTGAGCCCCACGGAGCATCTTATCCCAGAAGGGGACGGATACCTTGTGGTAGTAGAGGATCGTGTGTGTGGTCCCTGGATCTATTCCGCAGGAAATCCAATATGTCAATATGGAGTATAAGAGTAGTCCACGGTGGCTCTGATTACAGAGTTTCGCTGTAAGCGGCCTGCAAAAAGTCCTTTTATGTAGCAATCGCATGAATGGTGCAATCTGTACAAGAAAGAGCCTTGAGCCAGACGGTTGAGATCAAGGTATAAATCAACCACACCCCCCCCAAATAATGTCCTAAAAATTAGATGGGTGTGGGTCAAGCATGGTACCCAAACTGGCACAAAATGGAACCCTGGTGAATGGAGACAAGGCTAAAACCTGCGGTCCCTGGTGGTTTAATTTTGACCCACACTCAAATGTTCCTTTCTAAAAAGGGCTGGCAAACATTACCAAGTCCAAAAAAGAAGACCAAGCCATTTGGGGGGGGGTGGGACAGGTGGTGCCATGAATCCCCGGAGAATTTTTGCCCTAACATCGTCAGGGCTGCTTTTCTTCTCCGGGTCCCCTTTGGGATGAGAATACCCCAAAAGAAAGTGGATCCAACATAGACCCTAACTGTCCATCATACAAAGAGGGGGCAAGGGTTGCTTTTTGTTGTTGAAAGCGGGGGGGTCAGGTGTACAGATGGGTAGGGTGAGGGGGTTGATTTGAGGGGGTTCAGGTTTAGGGTTTAGGGTATCAGGGGGTGTTTCAAAAGTTCAGACGCCATTCCCGTTCCTTGGTTGTTTATGTACCATCAAATGAATTGAGCCATCTACTTTCACCCGAATGCATGTTGAAAGGGGGAAGGCTTTTGTTGCTATGGCCACAATTTGGTTGGGCTGTCTGACATTTTTTTGGGCAATTTTGGTGTGAATTCGGGTTTTGCTGTTGGCATTGCTGTTGGTTCCACGCCTTTGGTGTCGGTGTAAGCTGCCTGAAAGCTTCAAGCCGTTTACGCGTATTGTCAAGGCTTGGTCCTTCCACTGTGGAGTCCTTTCGGATCAGTTTGAACACATGTGGGTGTGGCTCAAAATTAAGGAGCTACAGGTTTTAGTCCATGTTTCCACTTACCAGGGTTCCATTTTGGCACCGGTTTTTTGAACCACAGCCATATGGATACTGTTGTCAGCTTGGTTCTCAGAACTCACTGGAATCGGTTGCTGTTTGCCAAGAAATCAATCGAGGTTCCATTCAAGCACCTATCCAAGGCGGGGTGATTTTGGTGCTCCTTTCGGCTTTCTCATGTGTGTTTCGGAAGTCAGAGGCTTGTCTTACTCCCCGTGCTTGGCTGTTTCGCGGAAAAAAAGGGAGGAACAAAAAGGGAACATGGGTGTTCCTAAAGACCCAGAACAAAATAATCGGACATGGAGGACCCTTGGAATTCCAAGTTGTTTTTTTTAATGAAAAATCGGCAACTGGGGATTGTATATGGATGTGGATATTATTGCATAATACATGGTTCCCCCCGCATGTACATCTATGTTGTTATATTATACATATATATATATATGAGACACATACATATATTTGCTTGCACTGGGTTTAACGCACGTTTAATGCACTTAGCTATCCACCATTCAGGTATCCCCTAGTTGGCGGTCTGGATTGGCGGTTTGGATTCGGATTTGAACAGGTCAATGGGAGACTGTCCCGACCCACCAAACCACCATTCCAAGCACCAATTAGGGGGAAGCTGAACATAGACCCTCAAAAATGGCAGGTTTCCTTTTGTTCCTCTTCAAAACCAAAAGGGTAGTTACCCTCACTAAAAGTCACACGGAATTGTTGCAAAAAGTTGGGTTTAAGCTCAAGCAACCAAACAAAAACGGATGCCCTTTTTTTCCATGGCCACTCTGCCACTGGGCATCTGAGTTGTTCTTTTTGACGTCAGGTGGAATTGCAGAGGTCCCGGGAGGAGTTGGAGGCGCCGGTTCGAAGTTCGTTTAGACAGCGGCTCACAACCGGGGCGGGGGTCTAGTGGGGGTTCAACCGATTTGCTGTAAAATAATGACTATAGGACCCAATCTGGATGAAAAAATCCTGAACGGTAAAAAATGCTGGTTCTATGAGCTTCCTTAACCCCCATTTTTGTTTTTCAATGGTGGTTTGATCCCCGGAGTTTGGCTATGCCTCTGATGTTTGCCCCTGCTGTGCAGCTGAACTAGTCTCATGTTGGGCAACCCTCCCCCAACCGCCGGAAGTCCCTTGGTGCTTTTCGCTTCATGGTAGTTAATGTTGACCCCGGATCTCAGATCCCGTCCTAGGGCAGGGCAATAGGGTGTCAAGTGGTCTGAATTCCAACTAAAAAGGGGACACCCCATAATCTCACTTCCTGAGTTCCTGGACTTTGCACTGAAGACTATTTGAGTGGCAAACAACAAGCGTGGACTTTTGTTGGCCCATCAACTCAGGAAGTGAGAAAAGAGGGGCACTCTCTCCAAGTTGACCACGGGGTCTCCTCCAAGACCTTTTTTTTCGTGCCACGATGGACGGCACGACGGCGGAAGGCAACTTTCAAGGGAGCGGCCAGTCCGCTTTAGGGGGGATTTCGGTTGAGCGAAGTTGTTTGACCGCGTGAGGAGTGTTTCCTATCTTCCATTTGCTTAATATGTTGTTTATGTTATGCCGTTGTTTGGGTGTTAAAGAGAAACTATCCCTAAGTACTGTTTTTTGAGGGTTTAAGCAAATGGACGTTATTTGTCATACACAAAAGGAACCTTGTATTTTGCAGGTTCACGTGCAGTTGTTGCGCACTCAGGCGGCAAAGGTGTGGCCATGCTGTTGCAATTCGCCTCACTTGGAGGGGGGAGGGCAAATTTATGATGTTTTTCCTTCCACGGAGCGTATGATTTTCTCTGGCATGCATTTGGGTGTGTCTTTTTTGAAGGCACCCTTTTACAGTGGTTTGAAAGGGAACACCGAAGCCATATTGGGGGTCCAAATCCTAACAAACAGAACGACACCCATTTTGGCGGTTGGGGATCAATTGTAGTTGCTCCAGATGGATGGATGCTGGTAGGTCCTGTTTAAGAGCTATGTTGATCTCTGCATTGACCTTCTAGTCTAGTGATGCTCAAAAACTCTCAATAGGCCGCAATTCTGGTAAGGACTAATTCAAAACATTCACCCAGTACTACGGGGTGCCGGGAATGTTGATAATGCAGGCAATGCCGGGGATGCAAAATTAAAAAGACATTTCTCGATGCAACCAGCAGAAAAGGATGGCAGCAACCCCCGAAATATAGACTTCTAAAGCACAATCATAATGCTGGGGATGTTTCGCACTATACAGGTGGGGGGGGGGGGAAACGCGTGTTTTGTTTCTCCAATTTGAGCAGTTCCTTAGATCATCACTACGTGTGTCCCCGCCAAGACCCCCAACAGGCATCGCTCAAAGTAGCAAAACACCCTTGGTGTTTGCAAAAACAACAACAAAGGTGGTGCCATCAAGACAGGCAACCCCCCCCCCTTAAAGCATTCAAAGGCCCAACACACTGGATAATTACAGGGCTTTGGACACGCAATTTTGCCCAAGATGGTCTCCCCAACAGCCTTCGGCTTTAAAAGACGAAATCCAAAAGAGCAAGTTGCGGATGGCCATCTACACGCTCGACTGGCATCGGAGTGAAAGTCCATGTGTCAACACGGCCTCTTTCATCGGGCTAAAGAAACCAATTCCTCAAGCCGCCTTTTCGTTTTTCTTTTTCTTTCTTTTTTCGGGGGGGCAAAGCTTGGCTATGGACCTTGTTGAGTAAGGAAGGAAATGGCTAGGCCAAGACTTGGGGCAACACATGTCGTTCTTTGCCCATGGCGCCTCGGACCACAGCATCCGAGATCGCTGCCAGAGAGGGTAAAGTAAGCTTCTTCTGGCGGCTTGTTTTGCTTGTCAGTTTCCTCAAACCGTTCCTACAGTTTTCGAGTTTTGGCACGTGCTCCGGATGCCCAATGCAAGCATTTTGCCCCCCAAAGAACAGTCGGTGACGCCGACGACGGCTATGACCATGTTTGGACATGATGCGACTTGTCGCTGAGTACTGCTGGACTCCAACTTTGGAAAGCTTTAAGTGCGATGTACTTTTTCCAGACCCGCCTTCGTTTGTTTCGTTTTACCTCCTTAACGGAGTCTTTTGGAAGATGCCCATCCTCGTGCCTGAAAAGGCCTCCAAATGGGTAGAACTTCTTCATCCTCTTCGTTTACTTCGTCATCATCATCATCATCATCATCATCATCAGCCCAGCAGAATCATACTCATCGACGCCGATTACTTCGACCTCATGCGCACCATTGGCCCAAGCAACACGCATACCAAATCGGCCCGAAGTGCCTTTTTGCACACACACACACATACGCACATGTGGCGCTGAAACGGGCAGGTTGCTGCCCGTTTCAGCGCCACTTCAATCTTTCTTGGTCCAATACCAACCTTTTGACCTTGCTGTCGCCAAATTGTTGGTCCATGATATATGCATAATTACAGTCATGGTCCCAGAAGATACGTTTGAAAGTTTCACCCGGTCTTTTGCGCAGAAAAAGGCCCACCACAATCCTAGAGACTGCAGCTCTCGTGAATCGATCGCTTACTGCCGAAGGCGTGTTCCGTTCTAGTCTTGTCCCTGGACAATGCCGCGGCCTTGGCGTGAAACCGAAGCCGCTGGCTTGCACCGCTGGAAAACCACTCGGGTGTATCTCAAAGCGCTCAAAGTAGACCCGGAAAGTCTGGCTGTTTCCTTTGGCTGCTTCCTTTAAAACAACCCCAAGAGGGGGGTGGGGTGGGGGGGATGGGATGGGGGGGGCACCTCCAAAAAGAGACACGCCCACCCGTTTTGTGTGCCCATCTGGAGCTGGACGAGTTGTCGCAAATCGAGACAGGCGCTTGAGCTTGGGACACGTGTATCTTAAAGGGGCGATCGACTCGCTACGTCAGGAAAGTGGTTAGCAACCCATGGTGAGATAGCCCACTGAACGGAGACTTATAACCATGGCTTTTGTGGGTTATAACTATGGTTTCTTGCCGCTTGCCTGACGTACCGAGTCGATCGGCCCTTTAAGTCGCCCATCTCAGGTTGGCCCCAGCGCACCGGCCGTCAGCCCCAACACCTCCCCCTTCGCGCCGGAGGAGGCTTCGCGCTTGAAGGCGGGAGCAGCCCAGGCGTTCGGAGGTGCCGGGTTTCTCAACACCGGTGGGGGCAACTACGCGGGATGCAACCCTTTGCAACTAAATCAGCCACAAACCATGGGATTTTACCAGATTGTTTTTTGTCCATCTTTTTTGTGGGAGGGGTGACCCCCGGTAACATCAACGACCAACAAATAGGGTGCACTTTTGCCCTTGGGGTCTAGGACATGGTGGTTGTTTGAATCATGGCTCACCAAAAGGAGGTTGTCAAAACAGCAGTCTACGCCATGGTTTCCAACAGGTCGTTTCAACCATAGTGCTTTGAACTGTGTCGCTTTCTGTGATACCCCAAAGGAAACCCAAGTGCCAAGTGTAGTGGTCCACTTTGGTATCACAGAAGGTGCTTTTTTTCCCGCAAACATTGGCGTCCTTGCTTGGTAGTGTGTCCTTTGCCTGTATTGTGTTTTGTCCTTCCTGTGTTCTTCTGCGTTTCTTTTGGTTTGTTTGTTTGTTTGTTTGTCCGTCCGTTCGTTCGTTCGTTTGTCGGTGTGCTTGTCTGTCTTTTTGTTTTGTCTCTGTCTGTCTGTCTGTCTGTCTGTCTGTCTGTCTGTCTGTCTGTCTGTCTGCCTGCCTGCCTGCCTGCCTGCCTGCCTGCCTGCCTGCCTGCCTGCCTGCCTGCCTGCCTGCCTGCCTGCCTGCTTGCGCACTTGCGTCTCGTGTGTGCTTGTTTCGCTTGTGACGCGGCCTCGCCTTGCAGGCGCGTGTGGATGTGCTGGAGGAGGCAGGTGTTCGGGGAAGACTGGGGCAGCTTACAATTTGGGTATGTCTTTTTTGCGCCCCTAAACCACAAAACAGGGGTAAGCTCAAGACAGATCCATTGGCCTATTTGGGTGTGGCTCGAAAGTTCAACAGCTAGAGTCTACTAGGGTTACGCAGGCTTTTCGGCTTTGTTTCACTTACCGAGGTGTTTTGTTTTGGGTAGTACTTCATGAGCCTGCCATTTAATGTACTTGTTGCGGAACCCAAAGAGGGGGTCTCCAAGAGATTCCTCTACGAGCGGGTGTTTTTTGAGCTCCTCCTAAAAGGACGCCAAAGAGGATGACTCGTTTCGTGTTTTTTTTGGACCCCCCGATTTAGCACTCGACAACCAAAGGAAAAATGCGATTTGTCAGCTGGTGGTTTGGATTCGGATTTGAAGCCCTGGTTCTTGTAGAGGGTGGAACCCCCCCTTAACCACCGAACCACCAATCCAAACACCAATTTGGAGGGAGGCTGGGTTTGAGTTCGATTTTCACCGTAAAGTAAAATGACGTGTGTGTGTGTGTGTGTTTGATGGGTGCGTCAACGTACCCCTCCAGACAAATAGCATGCTGCTTGGCTCGGTGTTTGCCCCAGCGACAGCCTTGAGGGTCAAATCGCTGGCTTTTCGTTGGCAGGTTCCGAGGGGTTTTTTTCCTGGGGCTGGTCTTTTTTAGTTGGTTGGTTGGTTGGTTGGCTTGCCGCATCCCGGCATCACAAGCCTCACTTGGCCGGCTGCCTATTGGGAGGCAGTTGGGAGTTGCTAGGGGCTGGTTTAAGAGGGTGGGGCTTTGGGGTGGTTTGGGGTTGATTTAGGCGAAGCCGAAGCGAAGGGCTCACATCCAGGCTGTCGGGCGGGTTTAGGGTTGAAATTTGGGGTTGGCTTGGAGCTGATTTGTGTTGGGCGTGCTGCTGCTTCAGGGTTGCTTTTGGGATGTGGCTATTTAAAGCAGCCCTAATAGGCACCGCTTAACCAATACCCAACACAAATCAGCTCCAAGCCACCCCCAAATCCCGCCCAACAGCAGCAGCCTAGATGTCAGCCTTTCGCTTCGCCTGAATCAACCCCAAACCACCCCAAGACCCACCCTCATGAAGATCTATTCCAGCCTGAGCCTCCCCCCCAAACCCAAACAAGCCCCCAGCAACTCCCAACTGCCTCCCAATCAGAGCCAATAAGCAACCTCCGGCCAAGTGAGCAACTTGTTCATTACAATCAACAGCAGCAAGACATGATATAAGTGCTCTTAATAGTGCTAATGGTACTATGCGTGGTTCAGATGATTTACAAAGTTGTTCACAAACACAATCGACATTTCGTGTTGCATCAGATTCCGAAGAAAATGCAAAAATAGAAGAACTAATAAGTAATATTGATTTAAACATGGATGAAGCATGGCAAATCCTTAAGGAAATGATCCATTCCTCTCGCGTGCATCAACATTCGGTGTAGTAAGGTTGCTGGTTTGTAGCCAGAACCACACATTGAGGACGTGTTGTAGTTGGTGTTAATGGTGCTACACATTGACTATTATTTTGTTTACGACATCTTTTACACGAATGATGTTGACAATATTTACAATCAGCAACTTTTGACTCTTTGAGAAATTTGTCTTCAAATTTCATACAATCTTGGCAAAATGGACATTGACTACAAGATTCATCTCCAGGTGATGCTGGGGATGCGGAAAACCAGCCCTACTAAAAAAAGGCCTAGGAAAAGCAAGCACCTCTACCGGGTGGGGGAGTGAAGTTTGGATGTTGGGCGCTTTTTTCAGAGTAGCCGTAACCTCCCAGAATCCTTTTGTCCAGAAAATGGCCCAAAATCCCTGAGGAAATGGGTAGATTCAAATCAGAACCAACTGGTGAACAAAGTGGGGGATCCACCCTTACAGCGTTCAGTGCTCTTAAATCCCTCAGACCCACTCAAAATGACAAGAGACTCGCCCTTTTCTCTATGGCACAAGGTGACTCAGGGCGGCGCCAAGCTCCGGTAGGGGCCTTCTCTTTTTGAGAACCCGTTACTGGAAGAAAACCATTTTGCGGATGGATGAAGCCCAGGACAAACCACCAACTGCGAGGTGGATCTTGCCACCATCCGCCGTCCGCCGTATTTACCAGGGTTTTGCGGTGTTTGCACCACCATTCCCATGTGCCATGGTCAAAAGACCCTTTACTTGGGCTTAGGGATGGTTATCCACCTAAGGACCCTCAATCATGATTCCAGTTAAGGGAACCATGACCCAGATGCCCAGTAATTATATTCCGCCCCCTTTTTTCTCCACCTTTTTTTTATCCGGAAAGAATCATTCCCCTTTCACCTCAACCAACAAAAAGGATGCCGAGTGTTTTTTCCTCCATGAAGAACTCCGCTGGGCATTGTGAGAAATGGGTATGGTTTGAACCCAATGGTACCATGTTGGGAGAAGCGCACCACCCATTTCAGCCTATTTTAGTTGTTCGCTGGCGGTACGATTTGGGTTTTGACCCATGGCCAAATGGGTCTGGGTCAAAGTTTCATGGGGCCGCAGGTTTCGGTCCTTTCCACCGACCGATCGGGCAAGCCATTCGTTGGGTACCGATTTTTGACAGGCCTGGGCGCTACGGAGCACCACCGTGGGCCAGCGCGCCGAGGAGCGGGAAGCGGAGGGCGTCGGAGCTTGGCCCGGGGGCGGTTTTTGGGGAACCCGTTTCAACCCGTTTCAACCCAGTTCAACCCATTTCACTCCCGTTCCGAAAGCTTTCGGACTTTGAGTCACTTTTGGTGAGGAACATGTCAGTCCAGCAAGTCCCTTGCATTCTGAGGAGGTACTCTAAGGACCCCTTTTTGCTCCCAAAAGCCATCCTCATGACCAAGGGACCCTCTGGGCAAGAGGGGCCTCAAAGAACGCAGGACATTTCGACACAAGGCAAAGAAATGCAACCAACACACACGCGCACACACACGACACACACACGACACACACGAAGTGTGTGTGTGTGTGGCTGTGTGTGTGTGGCTGTGTGGCTGTGTGTGTGTGTTGTGTGTTGTGTGTTGTGTGTTGTGTGTGGTGTGTGGTGTGTGTTGTGTGTTGTGTGTTGTGTGGTGTGTGGTGTGTGGTGTGTGTTGTGTGTTGTGTGTTGTGTGTTGTGTGTTGTGTTGTGTGTTGTGTGTTGTGTGTTGTGTGTTGTGTGTTGTGTCTTGTGTTGTGTTGCGTTGTGTTGTGTTGTGTTGTGTTGTGTTGTGTTGTGTTGTGTTGTGTGCGCGCGCGTGCGTGCGTGCGTGCGTGCGTGCGTGCGTGCGTGCGTGCGTGCGTGCGTGTGTGTGTGTGTGGCTGTGTGGCTGTGTGTGTGTGTTGTGTGTTGTGTGTTGTGTGTTGTGTGTGGTGTGTGGTGTGTGTTGTGTGTTGTGTGTTGTGTGGTGTGTGGTGTGTGGTGTGTGTTGTGTGTTGTGTGTTGTGTGTTGTGTGTTGTGTTGTGTGTTGTGTGTTGTGTGTTGTGTGTTGTGTGTTGTGTCTTGTGTTGTGTTGCGTTGTGTTGTGTTGTGTTGTGTTGTGTTGTGTTGTGTTGTGTTGTGTGCGCGCGCGTGCGTGCGTGCGTGCGTGCGTGCGTGCGTGCGTGCGTGCGTGTGTGTGTGTGTGGGTGTGTGTGTGTGTGTGTGTGTTTGTGTGTCTGTGTGCGTGCGTTCGTGCGTGCGTGCGTGCGTGTGTGCGTGCGTGGTGTGCGTGCGTGGTGTGCGCGTGCGCGTGTGCGTGTGTGCGTGTGCGTGTGTGCGTGTGCGTGTGTGCGTGTGCGTGTGCGTGTGCGTGTGCGTGTGCGTGTGCGTGTGCGTGTGCGTGTGCGTGTGCGTGTGCGTGTGCGTGTGCGTGTGCGTGTGCGTGTGCGTGTGCGTGTGCGTGTGCGTGTGCGTGTGCGTGTGCGTGTGCGTGTGCGTGTGCGTGTGCGTGTGCGTGTGTGTGTGTGTGTGTGTGTGTGTGTGTGTGTGTGTGAGGGTACGTTTTTGTTGTTTGGTTTAACGGCATGTTTAAACAGGTACATTGGGCGAGTTCATTGCACATCCTTAGCGCTTGTTGCGCTTGTCGTGCCGGGCAAAGTGGGGAGACCGCATGCGGACGAGGACGGAAGCTCCTTGGGACTATAATATGTCATTGTTTTTGAGGAGCTCACCATGCAGGTCCTTTACTCGAGCGCCCAGTATTCCAGGTCTTGGAATGGTCCTAAGAAGAAGCAGAATATCTTGTATCTTTTGGAAGGGGTCTTCATATTTGTTCGGAAGGGGTTCGTTCCCAGAATGTGAGAGAAGCGGATTTTTTTGATCCAGCAGCACTGAAGCTCCGGAGCTTGGGAGCCCGGCCAAATTCCCGCTGATGGGCATGCAGTGTGCTGTTTATGCGAACTGATTCTTACTCACTTCAGTTTCTCTTTTTGATCGTTTTTTTCTGATTGGTGACCTTGTGGTTCCCTTGCAGTCTTGCAAGCAGATCTCAAAGGATCATGGATCTGCGGCTGCAGTTGCATTGGCAGTTGCATTAGCTGTTCCGCTGAGTTAGTTTGTTAGTTTCTTCCCGCAGTGAGTTAGCTTTGCCCTCTTGCTTTCAGTCCCAGTTTCTTCCCGCTGAGTTTTGCCTTCCTTCGGTAGCCTCGCGCTCTCGTTTTTGACGGCCAGTTCTACTCCGCACCCTGCAGGAGTCTGTCGCGCGGGTGGAGGAAGAGGCCCCCTCATCTCGTGGGACAAAATCCACCATGCAGGTAGATATCGGCGACAGGTGGGTGGTTCAACCATTACTTACCGAAGCAAGTGTTGTCCAGTAGGTGTCAACCATGGATTCTCCAAAGAGATTCCCCTGGGTTCAGCTTGGCTCGAATCATTTACCAGTGCGGCATTGGTTTTCACGCACGCCCAGGCCCTGGGAGCCACATCGCAGGAAACCCGCGTGCTCCCAGAAGCCTGTCACAAGTTGCAAACTTGACGTACGCTTTCTCAGCACCGCGCCTATATACGAAGCTTAGTTGCGTCAAAGGCCTACCATGACCAAAGTCACCCCATGCAAGCAGTCGCTCGATTCGCCGATGCGTTGGCACTGTTTGAATGGCGGTGGAACAACATGTGCCTTCCTTGGTGTGTCCCTTTGTCACTGCAAGCCCTAGCTTTGAGCTTGATATACGCAAACTGATTTTGGGGTTTTCTACAGGGACTGCCAACGACATTCGGGTTTGTACCTTTGATATTGATTTGAATACATTTGATCTACATTTATGGAGCCAATGTACAAAGGATCAAATTGATGTTTGTCTCCAGTTTCGTGTGTCCCTTTCAAACCAACCAAAAATGGTACCTGAAGAAAAGTCACGCTGCGAGGCTTCCAGATTTGTGAGTTTGCTTGTGAAGTATGACTACTTGAGCGAAGCAACCGCAAAGATATATCGCTTTGGGCCCGTATTCACCGCCTTTTGTTTGCCTATATATGAATATATAGGGGAACAGGCGCCCCACAGTTCCTGGGCTCCTTGGGGCCCCCAAGACAACGCGCTGGGAACCGAAGGGTGGAGAAGATGTAAACCGAACTGTTGGCATTTGAAGTTGAAGCTGAAAATGATGCATCCCGACATAAGTCTTAGTGAACTGTGGCATGCTGCTTCCTTTCGGCTAGGCGTGGGGCAGGTTAGCGTTCTTTGGCGTCAATGCTGCTGCACGTGTGTGTGTGTGGCTGTTCTTGAACACTTGTGCACCCGCATGCTAACCAGCACATGTTGCTGGGGTAAGAGATGTTTGCGGTCATTGGCACTTGTGCACGCCAGCGCTGCTACACAGCGAGTCAGTGGGAGGTGGGAGGCGGAGACGGAGGCGCAAGACAAAAGAACGGTGGCTCCCCAGACGCAATCTGGCTCCTGTAAGAAAGGACAGCATAAACACTGATGTTTTGTGGCTTTTTGAGGCAAGGCTTGGACATGCTTGGACATTCTTGGTTTCCAAAGCATAGTTTCTGCTGCATTGTCGATTGGTTTCTGAAGCGAGATTAGGACCCCTGTTTCAGGAAGTAGCAGGGCTTGAGACGAGTGTGCGTGCGTATGCAGGCAATGAGGACCAAGTTGCTTTTCAAGAAGCCACGGTTCAGCACTTTGAAAGGATGAAGAACACACACGGAGCCATCCTGTACGGGGCAGCATCCTGGAAACATCGAAGGTAAGCATGGCCAGAAAGTTTTTTGGTGCAATTGAGATCAGGGCCGCCGCGCGGCAGAGCCGAGTGAGCTGACGCGTGGAAACGGGTTGCATGCTTGCTTATGGCGCCGCGCGTGGACTCAGGCAACATCACGCAAAGCGAGCAGTTGATGCGTCGTTCACGCGTTGCTATCAGTAGCCACGAGGCCCAAGAGTGGCGGAGAAGAACGCCTGAGTGGCTGCGTTTCAAGTTCGGAAGGTCGCGGGCCTTCCGAAAGCTGCTTAAGCTTGTTTGGCGAACCATCGTTTCGTAGAGGTTCCTTTCAACTTGCCAACTTCAGTTGAGGCGAATCCTAAGCAGGGTGTCGAGGGTAGTCAAATTCCGACTTTCGGGCGGCTGTTCGCCAAGCTTTGCGCCATGACCTCTCACTTTGCGAGACTGAACTCGTTGCCCTTTTGGTGCTTCTTGTTTGTTTTTGTTTGTTTTTGTTTGTTTGAGTTTGTTCCTGCTTCTGCAATCTTACTCTCATGTCAAACGATCGCCTTTCGCCAGGTGAAGAAGCTTTGGAGGGAGCTGCTGTCAAAGGAACGCCTGGAAGCCCTGGAGCTGAGCGCGTCTGTGTTTTGGAGAACTAAGATGCATTTCCCGACGCGGATCAACGTGGAAGTTCCCAAGCCGAATATTCGACACCCACCAAGTTTGTTGAAAATGAAACTTGAACAGCGCGGAGATGCGCGCTTCTGTCTGGAACGTGTTGTTGAGACTTCATGATGGACTCTGCCAGGGTAGGCGCCGCCCTTGCCCTCAAACAATTTATGGGCACACCTGAAGCGCATGGAAACGAAAGCAGACCTTGAGCCTGCCATCGTGACAGCCAGAACCGTTGCCAAACATCTATCTCTCGGGTCATTCACCGACGCGGTAGCTGGTGTGGGAAGGGGTCAAGATATTGCCACTGAACAACGATTGATTTGCGAAGAAGTACAGTGTTCGCGGCTGGAGGGAGACTGCCCTTCTACCCCCCAATTTGTTTATATTCCAGGAAATGGCGTTTATGTGTTTCTATGGGGTACGCACGATCTTGCAGACCTTTATTGTGGTACACAATCCTTCGCTTTTGGAAGAACCATCTCTGAACATGGTGTTGCCATGTTTGTGAGCTGTGGCCGCGATCAGCACATCCTGTTTTGACGCAACATGGCCACAGAATACTTGAGCCGCTCTACTTGCATGCTCGGCCAAGTTAGCAAGTGTGCACTTGCCTTCCCGCTGAAAGAGGGTCAGCCCACGCCTGGGTTTAATCGCCCACCAATTAGGCCGCACATGAAAAGTACTCTATGGATTTCCCGTGATCTTCCCATGTCGTCGAGTGTGCGAGGCGGCCCCAAGGACGTCCAGAGCGAGGTTGGGGCGCGCCGGGGTGTTGGATTGGGTGTGGGGGCATGCAGGGGGTTCTTGTTTTCTTTGTTGTTGTTTCCCAGCGGTCCACATACACGACTCCGCAGCTGCATATATCAAGCCTACGCAGCTGTTCATTCCGCAGGAAAGCAGCACGCCCTCGCTTGATGTTCTTCTCGCAGTTTGGGTGCAAGCATTCATACAAGATGTCAAGTATATATATATATATATATATACATATTGTTTTGTAGAAATCGAAATCCATTTCAAATCCACGAGCTTGTGTTTTCAAAACGTGGAAGTTCAAACGCAATGGAAACGACTGCATTTGCCGATCTTGGTTTCAACAACAGCAGCTCTTTTTGTTTGTAGGTGTTCCTTCCGAATCTGCCGCTAGATGTGGCTGTTTGCGTCTTGAGGTTATAGAGAGATGGCGGCCGTAGCTGAAGTTTGCTATGTCTAGTGATTGATCAGTTGCATGTGTTTTTTGCAACCCAATCAGCCGGTTTACGCATGATCCACGGAGGAGTGATCCACTTGGCTTCAGTTGAGCAGTTACCAGCCTCAGAAAATTGGAGTTCGGCATTACACTGCCTTCTCGGGCGTGCCTGTTGGACCATTGAATGGGAACAACAGATCCGGCGACCGGGGCCGCTGTGAATATTCCTGGCAAGGCTGATTTTTTTTTCAGGAGAATAGTGACCCCATTCGACAGGAAGTCCTTTGGGGTGTGTCAATCCGAGTTTTCATGATTGAGGAACACTATGGCCACTATGGCCACTATAGGGTATGGAGAGACGCTTTCGTTTGTGCCGATTGATGTCCGACCCCATACAAGCGTGTAGGTATCAGCACCAGGCCCTTTGCTTCTTGCTGCAGACTGCATTGAAGTCTCTGGCGATTCCAGAGGCTACAATATGGTGTGTCTTGTTTGAGGGTACCTATTTCTATTCTTTTATCACCTTGGTTTAGAACCCCTAAATAATGCGAACGATTTGGTGGTGGCAAGTGAGTGAAACGAATCTTTCTTGTCCGGTCCAGTGATACCCTCAGTCTTGCGCTTTTAAACAGCGGGAACCTCCCCCAAGAGGAAGTTTGTTCAAGACTTCAAAATTGCTCCCCTTCATATTCACATGTTGAACACGTTGAACTCCAAGCCATTCCAAACCCATTTGTAGAGGAAGCTGGTTTTGGGTGACCCGCTTCCGGGGAAAAGCCTCGTTTGCCAACGTCGACCCATCGGAAGCCGAAGCCGAGATTGAGGCGCGCGCCATCGAAGAGCTGAGGAGCCGCATTGAGAAGACCCAAAGCCAGGTGCGCCGGATCCATCCGGACCTCGAAACGGGGCTCCTTTTTTGTTTTTTTTCTGTCCGTTTGGAAAGGCCTCTCCCAAGTATCAAAAGGAGGGTTCGCCTACACTTGGCTGAGATGAGCAAGGTGCGAACGACCCAAAGGCCCAAAGGGGCGCCTTCCGTTTTCTTTTCTTTTTTTTTCTCCTCGGAGGTCTTGCAAGTGGCATTCTGGGACTGAATCGCGCATGTGAGGGCTCAGAGAACGGACAACACCGGTCTGCGGTCAGACATGGAGAGCCATCGGTGTCCGCTCATTCAATGCCTGCGTTTCTGTGGGAGACGAGGACCACCACCCGCTTGGGCTGTGGGAAGCCAACTTAAAGCCAACGCAACTCCCCGCGCGTGAAGCCCTCTATGGCAGCTTGTGCCGCAGGGCTGGAATCAGTGGAACCAAACAGAACGGTCACTATTTTGCCAAGGAACAAACCATGGAATACAACATGTATGTAAATGAATCTCTCTATGTATATATATACACATACATGTTATGTGATTTTTGCGTTTGAATTGGCGCTCCGAAGAGCTTGAGCGAAGTGCCCATCCAAAGTGCCGAGGAGGACTCAAAGGACGACCCAAAGGTTGGCAGTGGGCCCTGTGGATACGAAATCCGCTTCTCGCACCACGAAAGGAAACCATGGTTGAAACCATAAGGTTTGTCGGTATTTACAGGGGAATCGAATCAGACACCAGGGTGTCTTAGAAGGTGCAGGATTTTGTCGATACACTGTGGGACATACCTGAGGGACATATAATACTTGCAAGCACCCGAAACCATCGACGTTTAGCTCCGCCCGCAACAAATACTTCTCTCAGCTTCAAGGGGGGCAATGCAATATCCCATGACGCTCATGTAAGACTTAGTGGGTGTAGGAATGCCCGTTGGTTTTTCGCATCGCTTGCCGCTTGCCCTTTCTTTTCCAGGAGAATCGCATGGAGTGCGGGTCATGACACTGTGCGGTGACGAACAATGTCTTGCCGCAAAAATATGTTGGAGCCCTCTAAAATTACGAGGCGTCCCTTTTTATTCGTGGCACGTTGAATCTCAGTTCAATGCCACAAGACATACGGCTCATACACACAGCCCACTTCAGACTTTGCAGAGTTGTCTTCTGAAGGACCCCCTTCACGTTTCAGACCCCACAGAGTTGGTTTCCGTTCTCCCTGCTTGGTTTCATTTGTGATTCCTTTTTAGTTTCCTTGTTGGTGTCCTCCTTGTTTCCTCTTTTCTTTTTCCTATTTGTGTTTCCTTGTCTGTTTCCTTGCTTCCTTGTTGGTTTCCTTGTGGTTTCCTCTTTTTCCTTCGCGCTCTGGGTTTCCTATGCGGGTTCCCGGCCCGGCAGTTCAACTCCGTCCAGGTCGCAGAACTGCACTCGCTCAGACCAGAGGATGTGGACGCCCTGATGAAGAAGATGATCGACGAGGCGGGGTCGAGCAAGACGCGAAAAATCCGCGCGGATGGATCGGCGCCAGTAGAGTTGGTAGTGTTGACCCAGGATTAAGAAACCCGTCCCACTAAGTCACTATTAGGGGGGGTCAATCCAAAATGATGAATCCCCACAAAAAGGGGACACCCGGGCCCCTGTTAATCAACTAGGGGTTTATTAGTCCGGGGTGAACATTAATTACTCGGGGTGTCTTTTCTTTAGGGACCCCCCCCCAAAAAAAAAAAGAGATTGTTTTTACTTTTAGTCTCCCTTTAAAGCCAGGGGTACTGTACCAACTCCAATGAAACGACAGGCCCGGTTGGTGGTGTATCCCCAGTCAGAGAGTCACGGCGAAACGGGTCCGAGTGAGCGCTAAGCGAAACGGGAACCACCAGAATTTCTGAAAACCGCGCCCTTGAGAAGCTGTCCTCAAACCCAGTTCGGCTTAGCCCATTGGGGCAACGGATCCATTCGGTGCTGAGAGGCCAAACAAAAACAGTTCGTCAAGAAATGTCCGAAAGGTGGTCAGCAAGGCTGGCGCACACAAAGTCGGTTGTGGCCGCCTTTGTCAACAAACCGGGCTCTTTTGTGAAGAAAAATTACAGATAGCAAGAGCCATAACTAAATACATCCAGAAATTGCACATGAAGACATGTTCGAACATGTTTGCATCCAATGACATCATATGCATGTACTTTAATGTTGACCTCGTTCATAATTCAGAAATTACCCTCCAAATAAAAAATGGATCTAAAAAAATAATAATAAACCGGTCCCTCCCCCAGATGGTTGCTGCTATCTCATTTGCTCCACTGCTTCTTGAGCTCATTTCTTAGAAATTGAATGGAAACTCAATTCCAGATCTCAAAAAGGAAGCCCCAGCAATACTAAATCAAATGGAAACTCAATTCCAGATCTCAAAAGGAAGCCCCAGCAATACTCAATCAAATGGAAACTCAATTCCAGATTATTTAGGGGGTCAAGGCAAAAAACCTTGCAAATTCTTGCCCCCCCAAATTCGGACCTCCAAGCAGGGGCGGGGTTACATACTAATACGGGGTCAACATTAGTAAACACACTTGTGCCGACAATATATCTACAAGCATTCGCAGGCAAACCCACCACAAATCCATAGTTGTTCAAGTTCAATTCGCTTGACAGAATGAATTCGGGCAAGGGCACCGGGAGGATGTGGAGAAATGATCATCTTCGGTTTGATACTTCATGGTGTGGATGAACGAACTCCTGCACCACCGCTCAGAAACCCCGGTTTATGATTCGATTCCCCCTGTAAATCCCAACAAACGCCATGGTTTCAACTTCCCATGGTTTCATTCACCGTGGTGTGTTGGAGGCATGGATTTCGGTTTCAACCATCAGTATGTACAGCGCCAAAGGTCGGCTTCCACGTGAAAGAAGTCGGAAGCCCCAACTCTTGCTTTGGGTTCTCGAAGCCATGGGCGGACTTGCGTGGACCTCAAACCTGTCTTGGAGCAGATGGGTCTGCCCCAAAATGGGGAGCCCCAAGGTGCGTCTGATGCTTGAGGGACGCTCAAGAACAGTCAGTGGTTTCCCTTTGGTTTCCCGCGAAACCAAGCCCAATAAGGGCACCCCTCAAAAGACAGACCTGTCTCAGCTTCCATTTTGGTGCTTTGGATCGATATAGGTCAGGGCCAGTTTTTCATGTACTCCAAGGGGGCAAATCCCACCACTCCAACCCACCAAATGCTCGGTGGCCCCATCGCAAGATCTCCGAGTCGGTTGAAATGTGACAAGGTGGTGATCCGGATCACTCAGGGTTTTTGCAACCAGATACAAACCCCTCTTTATATGGGGGGGTGCCCCACAAAAAGGGGCCACCCCATCAACCAGGGGTTTATTAATCTGGGGTTAATATTGGTTCCTGGTGCTGAGGGGTTGGTCTTTGGGAGGCCCCTTTAATTGTATCACAGGAGTGGATTCCATTTCCCATTGATAGATCCACGTGGAACGCCTCACAAGAGGAGCAAGCTTCGGTTGGCAATGTTCATTTTTGTTTGCTTTTGACGGCTCAAACTGCCACAAGCTACTGTGATTGCAAAATCTACTTCGGAATAATTGGGATGGATGAACCTCCCCTGTGTTGTACTGATGAGATGTCTGATTGAACTAAACTAGATGTGTTGAGCGGTCTTTTTCTTGTCGCAAGTTCAATTCAGTGGCCACTACATAACCTTTTATGCCGTTGATCTTTGGGTTGCAAGTGCATTCGAGGCGGAGCATGACGAATCATTTGGGCGCGGCTTTTTTCAGAGAACCCCGAAAATTCGTGTTTTTTTTCCCTCTTGCTTCCCTTTATATCCGCCAAAACGGGCTAGCCGCAAGAAAAAAAATCGCCACACCCCCCATTTGGGGATCCGAAGTGGTTTCACCCGGTGGTGACCGTGTTTTTCTGGTTTGCATCGCGTTTCGGGCGTCAGGTGAGCCGCTCAGTGAAGCTTCTGGGCGACAGATGCTCCAAGTTGGAGGTGGGCCCGGAGAGGTTTCTCTCGGGGCGCTTTGGAGTGCGTCCTTTTCCAGTCAGTTTGTTTTGGGGGGTCAGAAATTGCAATTGAAAGGTCGGAACTTGCAATCAACAGTGGGGTGATCAAAGCGCCTCCAATGGTTCCCCGCCAAACGTTTATTTGCTCCCTGTGCGGGACGCGGACTTGATCGTCACTTTTGGGTTTGGTTACATTTTTAGTGGCTTTTCCCCAAAAATACATTTTTTGCTGCCTTTTCGAGTGGGTATGCCTGGGGTGGTCGCTACAGCAAGTTCTCGGGGTGATCAAAGTGCCTCCAATGGTTCTCTTGCCTCTGACATTGGGTTGGTTGGTTGGCCTCCCCTATGGTGAAGGGCAGCCCGTTTGACGTATGAGGTTTCTTACATGGCTTGGTCTCAGATTGGTGCGTTTGGGACTTGCAGGCGTTTGGGTTGCCTTTTGCTCCCTTTGGATCAGGGTAAAATTTCGGGGTTAAGGATTTGTTCCCTAGACCTCGCTAGCCCTCTCCAGCCCAAGAGGGGCCTCCCCAGATTTGAGGAATTACGACCGAGTCCAACATTAAGCCTTATTAAGCCTTATTAAGCCTTATTAAGCCTTATTAAGCCTTATTAAGCTTTATTAAGCCTTATTAAGCCTTATTAAGCTTTATTAAGCCTTATTAAGCCTTATTAAGGCTTAATAAGGCTTAATAAGGCTTAATAACGCTTAATAATTTGTTATTTAGATGAGAATGCTCAAAACGGACATGTTCTCTTATTTTCAACAATCCTTCAAATCCGCCATCTCGAAAAGCATCCAGCCTAGAACACATGCCCCAGGATTCTAGTCAAAGTACCATACTTCCAAAACATCGTTTCTTTTTGAGAAGTAAAAGGGGTGGTAGGGGAGGGGAGGGGAGGGGGGGTAAGAGGGGGTGGGGAAGGGAGGGGGGGGAGAGGGGAGGGAGGGGACGGGGAAGGGGGAGGAAGGGGGAAGGGCGGGCCAAAAGCGTGTCCCTGTGCAGGTTTTTTGGGGGGGGCCTCCCCACCACATTAAGCCATATTAAGCCTTATTAAGCCTTATTAAGCCTTATTAAGCCCTATTAAGCCTTATTAAGCCTTATTAAAGCTAATTAAGGCTTAATAAGCTTTAATGGGCCCTGCTAGCAAACAGTCGTATTTTCCTACATTTTGGAACCCCTCCAAAATTCTTGCTTGATTTGGGAGACTGGGCTGCCCTCAACATTACACTGGTGATCTAAACCACCTCACTTGGGAATCGCAGCAGGTTTGGCTTCTCGCTCCTGATTTGCGGGCCCCACCTTTGCCGTTACCTTTGCACTTGGCGGAGTTGAGCAATTGCAGCTAGATTCGAGCAAAGTACCCCCAACAACGCTCACACATCATGAAAACACAGAAAACCTGAACCAACATTAAACATGCAAGAAAACCAAATCTGGGGAGGCCCTCCCTGGGGAGGCCCTTCGGGGACACATGAAATAGGCATTGCTAGACTTGCCCACCTTTTGGACTTTTGCCTTTTTGGCTTCTCATCATTTGCCTTTCTCCTAGCAACAAGCTAAGCTTTCTGAAGGGGGTCCTAGGTGCGTAAAACCAAGGTGTTTCCACCGGAGAGCGTCGTGGTTCATTGGGTGGCTTTGTATCATTGGGAGAGCCTGTCGAAGCTAGATGTTTCTAGAAAAACAATCAGAATCACTCAGAATAAGTTCTGGCTGTTTGGGAGCATTCCGGAAAGGCGTCGGGGGTGGGACCAACGTCGCCTTGGAAAATCCAACAACTTCAACTTCCAACTCGGCGTCGGCCCAGACAAGGTGTTCACATCTTTTGGGCTGGAGAGGAACGTCGGGGGAGGGGGGGGATCCTGGAAAATGTTTGTTTCCTCTTTTGGTCACGTGGCAAGAACACAGGAGACCACCATAAACCAACAAGACACCGCTTTCAACCAACCAGAAACCACAACAGTTAAACAGGCGGTGAGAACATGGTTGCGGAAAGTGGTTGCGTTGGGGCAAGTGTCCGTGACAATTACCAAGGGCATCCGCTTTAAAGTGACAAAGTCGCAAGGCTGGGAATCCCACTTTGCTATCACAGAACGTTCTCAGTTCAAAGCGCACTTTGGTCCGCTTTGAAAGGTCCCAAAGGCGATCACCTTTTATTACCTTGGGCTGTGGTGTTTTCGCTTGCCCACTTTGCAACCACTTTCCTTGGGATTATTTCCAGGTAATGCTAGCCTCGGATTAATCAATCCCTGTTTATGAATACGGGTGTGTTCCCCCCTAAATTAATCTGGGGGTAAGATTGCCATCGGAGAACAATGCACATGTATTTCCAGGTCGACTCCTGTCCACTATCATGGAACCCACCAGAGGGTCCCTTTAAGAGGACAATTGTCCAAACCAAGACCCCAGTCAGGTTCTATGTTAGTGGGCTATGGTATTCTGAATTTGCCCACTTTGCAACCACTTTCTTCGGGGGCACTTCCCCACTTTCTTTTGGGGCACTTCCACAAATTTGCGGGAACACTTTCTTCAAGCTTGTAGTTCCTGGTCTGCAGATTGACCTGGGAAGCCCATGTCTCCCATTGGATGCACCTCTTTTTTGTCCGGACCCGTCTGCTTCTCCCGAATTGGGAGGGTTTTTTGTGGAAACTACTCTTACCCCCGCAACCACCGGGCTCCAAACCTTGACTGCCATTTGGTTGGATCTTTAGACTTTAACTTTTCGGGACATCAATGGGTTTTCCACTACACCCACAAGTTATTCGCCTTCTGCAGAGGGCTCAACAGCAGCTCACCTCTTAAAAACACGAAACTCTTCTCAACTTTTCGGGTCACTTTTGGCTTTTTCTGTCTGTAAAAGATAAGAGAACTTCCCCAGACCCTTGGCTTGGAGTTTTCAGGGGTGAGGCAGGCAAGCAAGCCACCAACAAAGTGCGCCGCCGCCTTCCCAGGGGGGCCTCGCCGCTGTAGAGGCCGCGGAGTCCAGCGGCCAGGCCGGGGCTCGAATCGGTCGGAAGAGTTCGGCGGGGTGTGGTGAACATCAAAAGGCCCTGGGAAGTCGTGTGGGAGAATTATGAGTGGTTGGGTTTTCAGATTGGGAAACGGGTTTGTTAAGTTGTTTTGGTGGGAACATATTAAACTAAGCCAGTGTAGTTACCTGTTTCACCTGTGTTTGCCTCACTTTGCTCCCCGTTTGGGGTTTGCCTGAAGAGCAAATCACCACGAACACCGCCAATGGCATGAGACAATCCCAAACCCTCGGTTTTCTCCTGCCAGTGGCTATTGCACATGGCCTGGTGATTAGAGCAAACGCCACCCGATATGTCACTTGAAAGGGTTCCTCTTGAATTGGGTTTGACCGACCTCATGCAGAATTTCCTGATTGGCGCGACCTGGGATCATCGACTCTTGAGGTTATTTTGGACCTCTGACTTGCAGTGGTAGCTTCAGACTGAATTGCGAGGTCAGAACTTGACTAGTTGACTCTCTCCTTCAGCTTAAGATGTTCTTTCAAGCTTGCGAAAGAACGGACTTGACGATGACCATAGTCGAACAGCCTCCTTTCGCATTCTGACCAACAACCAACAGATTGAGATTACTGCAATCCTGGATTGAGTGAATGTTCAGAGGAGCTTCAAAGCTTTCCGCTTTGCCGGACGCGCACCCCGCCTCGAGCGTGTTCGTGTATTGGCGGTCAATGGCTAGCCACGGTGAAATGTGTGGCAGGGAGTGCGTTGAGTAGGGCGAATCAGTGCGAGCGTTTTGGCTGGCCATGGTGACTTCATGTGACTTCCATATTCTCATGATGATTGAGCTGTTGGGCATTGATCTGCAAGAGCCGTTCTTTGCTAAGAACTGCTTTGGTCTCTTCATTGGTTCAAGCTGTTTCTTTGCAGTTGAACTTGTTTTCAACTTTCTAACTGTGGTTTGAGATGGGGAGCCCACGGAAAATCCACGGCCATTCCACGGCGCAAAGACTTCGGAGTTGCCGATAGCTTCGCGTAGAGCTCCACCGGTTTGTTTCCCTGAGGGTTCATCAATATTCCATGTCGGGTCCCAGTTTTGACCATGGCCAACTCTTCCCATGTGGCGATGTGTTCAAACCTTTGTTGGTGGTTTCCCTAGTTCTGTCAAATATTTGTTTGTCGTTGGGAAACATTTTACATTTTTGCTTATTGTGGTTTAGTGGTTGAAATCCAACCACTTAACTGCTAAAAGTAAAAAAATAAAAATAAAAAATAAATGGTCCCCAAACCCAACGTCAACCGAGAATATTTGTTCGGTGGTTTCCCCAAGTTTTCCCCATGTTATTCGGGGACCTTTTGATCGACCCCCCCAGGCTCCACCGCACTCAGCCCCAGCGCAGGCGGAGAAGCGACGCACCGAGCAGCTGGAGAAGATGGCGCCGCGGCATCGAGCGAGCGAGACATCTGATGCGCGCGAGGTGATGTTTTGGGGACCCGTAGAGGGGGTCACCCGCGAGGTGTTCCTGGACTTGATGGTCGCTTTTTTGGGATTGGACCGTTATAGTGGTAATAAACAAGCTTGAGCTTGCGTCATTTTGTTTGGGGTCCGAGCCGCCGGTCGGGGAGAGGGGGAAAGGAGAAGATTCTTTGGGTTTGGGCCAATTGGATGGAAGAAGTTTAGACCTGGTAGAGAGGGCGAGTCTACTCGCTTCCTGAGCTCCGATTTGGACTCTGACTTGGTCGTCACTTGGCTTGGACTATTTGAGGGAGGAGGTTTAGATGTTTGGCTCACTTCATGCAGGAAGTGAGGAAGGAGGGGAAGTGTCTGTCCTAGAGGAATTATCATGGGCTTGGGTTGGACTCCTTACCTGACGAGGCAAACCCTCTCAATTGCTGGCCCAATTTCGTGGCAATCGAAAGTTTGATGCCCTAAGGGTTGAACCCTGAGGACCTAGGCGAGGTTGAACCAGCAGGCGTCCTATTTTATGATGCGCTGTGAAAACAAAACAGACAGCGCCTCCGGCTACAAGCATTTTTTCCCGGGAGGTCCTAAATGTTCGTTTTCGGTGGGTCCAAACAGCACGTTCCTAGGCGGTTTGATTCTAAGCTTGTCTGACCAACATACCGCTGCCTCCGATCGGAGAATCCGCGGAAGACTGCACGTCCTGAGGCATGTCACGCCAGCAGCATACTCATTCATGGACTATGGGTCTGCCTTCTGAGTAGCCCCCCCCAAAAAAAACTATCCCCCCTCCAACATCCGATACCCCCTTTTTGGTTGGCTTTACAACAACCAAAGCTATCCCCCCTCCAACATCCGATTCATCCAGCGCGGCAGAGCCAACGAGCCAAAGAGCCAAGCGGACGAAAGCCGATCCGAGTGCTTCGCCCAGGTGGAGCTTCTTCTTCAGCAGAGGAGGCAAGACTTGCAGGCGGGTTCCAAACCATACGCCCTGGTCGCCAGGGTAAGGATACCTGAGCGGGGTGAGCAATCACCAGCTGGTGAAGATCCAGTTCCTTGCAAAGTTGGTTTCTTGATGGTATCCTTTGAGGACTGTTTCTTACCTCTTAAAAACACAACTTTTCAACTTTTTGGGTAACATGGGCTATATGTCTGTAAAAGATGAGAACTTCCCCAGGGCTTGGAGTTTTCAGGGGTAAGGTTTATTATTATTTGTTCAAAGGGAAGAGGAGCTTGTTTACACAACTGTGGAAGTTCGGGCGCTTTGTCTTGGCTTCCGCTGCACCCTAGGAGGCCCAAGCCAACTTCCGGGAGATCGATGCCAGGCGTGGACATTTTTGCGTGTTGGAGGATTGATGGATTTGCAGATTTGGCGGAGGGCAGGGCATTGATACACTGTTTGTGCTTGCGAGCGTTTTTTTGACCGCTATTTAGTCGAGCATTAAATCAGCCAACTGGCAAGCTGCTTCGCAAAGGAATTGAGCCTCCTTTGGGGCACACTTTGCGCAATGTGGTCAATGTTTTGAACGGAGCAGCAGCTTTCCTGGATGAGACGGGAAAAGCCGCGCAAAGAGTGCACATTACCGCTACCAGAGCGCAATTTCCCGCAACACGAGATTCCATCAAAAAGTGCTAGTTTCGTCACGCTCGGGCCCGCTGAAAATCGTGCACATGAGTAGCAGAAAGACTGAGCCCACACGTTGGACAGTTCCTTCTTTTTCGATATCCGCATCCGAGCGCTTTTTCTTGAACCGAGCGTTTTTCAGATAAACCCGCGGCAATCTGTCGAGCGGAAAGTAATGCTCAACGGAAGATTTCGCTAAGTTTGTTCACTCTTAACTAGACCACACGCAGTTCTTGGAAGTGGATGTGAAAGGATCGCCTCAGATTCTACACAATTCCGCCCTTTGCTCCCCGCTAGGCTTTTTGAAACGGAAAACCTCTCTGGCAACCAACAGCAGAGCAGCATCAGCCACAACCCAGGGTTCTTAGTTTTCGGTTCGGGGCGGACATCATCCCATGTGCATAGGATACCCAGGAAATTGAGGGATAGGAATGCTCACCCCAACGACATCTTCGACAAATGGGATAAGGTCTTGTCCTCACTTCGTCAATCAATGATCGTTGTTCGACAATTGCCTGATTATCCGCTTCCCGCGAAAGACCAGGGGACCACTTAATGTTCCATGGGTGTAGCTCATAGTTAAGCAAATAGCTTGGGTTATGCAGGCTTTGGTCTTTGCTTCCATATACCAAGGTGTCATTCTGGATACCATTTTGTGAGGCACAGCCATGTCCTCTTGGGGAAAACACATTGTTTGTGGATATTGGGTTGATCAAAGGTCCTTCGCATGGAATGACCAATGGTTGAAGAACCGCTACACAGATGTTGTCTCATAAAAAGGTTAACCATGGTCAAAACTGGGGGCCGAAGGGAATATTGGTCAACCCCCAAGTAGACCAAACCAAGACAATCGTGGCTTTGAGAAGAGCACATGCATCAACTAGCTCAGATGTTCATTTTCTTGGAAAGCAGAGCCTGTCAGCAGTTTTGAGCCATGCTGACTCGTTTCTTCGCCTCCCGAAGGTTCGAGCCACGAAATATGCATCAACCTCTGGGTTTCCATGGCGCTCTTCCCAAACCTTGACAAGGGAATTCAGGGGGCGTTAGGCCGGCGCTTAAACCTTAAACATTCACCCTGGCGTTGACATGTACATGGTCAAGCCGATGTCTTGACTCATTTTTGGGGGGGGATTGCGGGGTTCTATACCTTGCATGACTTTGAGTTCTAACTCGGCCATTTGTTTTGCTTGGGGGCCAAGTCTGGAGTGGTGGACATGAATCCCCACCTAAATGAGGTCCACCAAAGCGTCCGGGACCCATTCAAGCTCTAAGGGTCGCTTCCTATTCTCTTCACCCATTCTCTTTAGACACCACCTATTTTCCCAGCAGATTGGCACATTAATTTGAAGACTTCGAAGAGAAGGATGGCTAAAACGAACAGCTCACTTCCTGAGTTCCTGGACCTCAAACTTTTCGGGTTTGGACCATTTTTGTGGTAAATACAAAGTTTGGACTTTTTGTGGCCCAATCCACTCAGAAAGTGGGAAAAGTTGCACGGCTACACCAATCCACTCCTCTTTGTATTGCAGGTTCCACGACTGGGATCAGAAGGAGCAGCTGGAGGCGTTCACAGCTGGCGCTCGATATGTTCTTCTGGTGGCGTGTTTTTTTTGAGGTCTCAAAGCGGCTGTGATATCTCTTTTAGTGGGCATAACTCCCTTCAAGTGAGGTCCACATTAAAATCCAGGCCCAAGTGACTTAGACAGGGGTTGTGGCCCCCAGTTAGGATGTCACTTTGGCCCAACCTGTTTCGGCCTTGTGGTCTGGTGTGAACCGGGGCATTTTTAACCAAGATGATGCTGGGTGAAAAAACACATGTTGCCAAAAGGAGCTTCCCCCCCCCCGAAAGAAAGAACATGTTACCAAAAGGAGTTCCCCCCCCCCACAAAAAGCACATGTTGACACAAAAAAAAACACACATGTTGCCAAAAGGAGCTTCCCGCCCCCCCCCCCCTCCCGAAAAAAAAAGAAAGAAGAAACATGTTAACAAAAGGAGCCTTCCCCCCCAAAACAAACCAACAGCATGTTACCCAAAGGGAGCTGCGCGGTGGCCGGGGCTCCCAACCGCCGCCCCGGAAAATCTCGGCGCCGACCGACGTCGGCTTCAGAAGAACTGGCGCCCAGAAGCGGAAGTCGGGGGCCCCGAGGCTCCCTCCGAGCCCTGGGTGGGTGTTGCCCCGAGGGGCCCGACGACGGCCCCCCCACCAAAGTCTGGGCCGGGGCGGCGTTTTTTTTTGTTTGGGGGGGGGTTCAACTTGGAAAAACTAAGATTACCCGAAAAAAGTCGGGCACACAGCAAAAAGACGGCGCGGCCGTTTCAGGTGGTTCTACCTGGTTTCACAAAGGGAAGCCCTAGAGGCTAGAGGGTTACCTTTGTATTTACAAGCTTGTGGTAGAACCAACAGTCAGTGGGTGTTGTGCTCAAATAATGTTGCTTCGGGATTTGGGAATTTGACCCTTCGGGAATTTTCCATTCCCCACTGGGAACACAGAAGATGAGCCTTTAAACTTTTTGGGAAGACCATTCTAGGGAGAGCAAAAGTTTGGACGTTGTTGGAAATCCGCTCCCTTTCTGTTGTAGCACAGAAGTGGTCTTTCCCCACAGCCCTGAAACAGAGAGAGAGAGAGAGAGAGAGAGAGAGAGCAGCCCCTTTACCCTGCATACGGTGCTTTTGCAACTCTGGCTGAATTTGGTGGATCGTCCATGTCTCTGGCGATCGCTTGCTTCTCGGCGATTTCGGCACAGCGGAACTTGCACATCATGCTTGAAGTTTCGTGTTTTGTGCGCATCTGCGGTTTGGTCCATGAACTAAGTCTAGGTCCCCCAGTAGCGCCCTTCTCTCCCTTTTTGTTTTGGGAGATTCGGTTCCCCTACTAAAATAGACTACAAAAAAAACGGGTACCCTTATTCTAACCTCTCCACAAGACCTAGTTTCCCTGAGCTTCCCAGACTTTCCTCTTGGCCCCCTCGTCAAAACAAACCCAGACCGGGTGGCCAGACTCCCTTATTCTAACCTCTCAAATCTGGACCTATTGGAATGGCTGAGCAGTTTGTACGGGCACGGCATCACCTTGAGAGCTCCAAGCCGACAGCGAGAGCACCCGGCGTTTTCCAGAAACACAGAGGCCGTTTTTGAAGCACATGACGTGAACTTTGCGTGTTGCCAAGGGATGTTAGGACTGAACAACTGTTTGCCAACTAAATGGGGTTTTCATTAGACAACCGAGCAGAAAGCAGGGGAGCAGAAAGCAACCAAGTGAAAGAAGTCAGAGACTTCACCCTCTTGTATGAGCTTGGGCCAAACAAATCCGCCATGGGTTTGTCATTTGGGTGTCCTCAGATGCCCTTTCTTTCCCACTTACCTTGTTACTCGTTCTCCTGTTAGTACCAACAACGGTTTCATGGTTTCTTAGGTGCTGCGACATGGTTTCGCAAGCATCCACAGTGGTACCAGGGTTTGATCGTGACTCAGATTTGGAGTATGGCTCATTCACCGAGGTTGGTTCCCACAGCGTAAAAAGCCGCCGAGGCCATTCGCGCAGAGATGCAGGAGATGCGGTCCACACACCTCCCCTCGCTGTTTCAGCAGCCGCACCGGCCCGTTTTGGGGCACCGAAAGATGTGGTCGGGGTGGTTTGTGTGTTGCAGGGTGGTAGGGTTTGCTTCTCTTGGCTTCTTGGCTTCTTGGCTCCCAGCCATCCGGCTCCTTAGCTTTTTAAGGCTTTTTGAGGGTTTAGTGGGGGATTCCATAAAATTTAACCCACCAAAACTTAACCACTCTTAGCAGGAAAAATCTGAGAACCGCCCTGGTTTTCATGTCTTTTTTTTTGGGGAAGAACCACTTTGGTGCCTTCCGTTGGTTTTCCCCCAACCGCCGGCCATGGTCTTCACATCCCGTCTGTCCCGGCTGGGGAGTTTTTGGGGATGGGGTTTTTTCGGATGCCTGAAACCCTCTGCGTGCCACATGTTTGGGAGTCCGAAAGGTCCTGGTGTTGAGACATGAACGGCCTTGCTTTGGCCACTTGGTGCTATGTCTTCCGCCATCCGCGATGAACGTCGCGAAGGCTCTTGTTCTTTGTCGGCGAAAGTTTGGTGAACATAGCCCCGCGGAGGTTGATTTGCTTTTCGTCATTCAGACAACTGCCGTTGGTCAAATGCAATCTCAGCAAATGCAAGAAATCATTAATACAGACAGCCTGTACCCTTGATGTTCGCGCCAACTCGAGATTCAGTCCAGGGGAACCCATGCTTTGATGCCCATATTTGGGGTGGGTTTGGGCGGGTCAAACTGGAGTCATGATCCTTTCCGCCTTGCACCCCACCCGTTCTTCCGTTTGCGAGGGAGATTTGCACAATTTCCCTGTGGGTTTCACATTGTCATGTCCTTCCTGTGCAACTTTCCTCCATGCGCAACTTCAGCCTAGCCTTTGTGATGGTCCGCAACTTGGTGTGACCGAGTTGCCCCTTAGACCTTTCGGATCACTCCGGAGATGCGTGCAGATCGCAAGGAGGACCTTGGACCTTTGGAGACGAATTGCTTTTTCCTTGATAGAACCGCCGAAAGGTTAGACCTTCTGTTCAGTCGGGAAGGACACCAGAGACCTTACTGCTTTCTTCAGAGCCTTTACACCCCTGCCGGGGTTGCCAGAATGAGGCCCTTGCAAGGCTCGTTTGGCAGACCTAAAGGAAGATGTTTACAAATCAAATGGGGGGCTGTTCAAAGGTACTCCATGGTACTCCTTAATCCTTACCTTTGGTTACGCAAGGATTTGGTCCCTTGATAGGAATTGTGGATTAGAATTGGCCAACCATGCATTTTGAACAGCCCAGAATGGGGGGGGTGTCAAGCAAAAGGGGCGTCCTGTGTCGTGACCCCGAGCTTTCATAGGGCCATGCGGCGGTAAAAACGTCAATCTGGCGGAAACGTGGGTGGACTCGCCAAAGTTTCCCACGAAAGCCGGGGCACTTCCGAAGTTCCCAGGTTGTGTAGGAGAATCGTACTATATATATATATGTATATTATATATATATATATATATGGCGAAGAATCTGAGAGTTTGAATGAGTAAGAACTCCCCTCAACAGTGGTGGACATAAATTCCCAACTAAGTAATATCCACCAAAGGGTCCCCTCTTAAATTCACATATTTGGGCTGTGGGCATAGCAGGTGAGCCCAAGAAACCTGGGTACTCTGGATGGTGAGGGGAGATCTCTCAACGAGAAGCGGACTTGTTTCACATAGTTCTGCTCCACTTCCATCATGCTCAAGTGGGTGTGTCCTTTCAGCCTTCCCATGTCTCCCAAAGCACCCACTCCAAAGAGCACCCACTCCAAAGAGTACCCACCAAATGGTTGTCCCCCGATCAGTTTCACGCCACACAGCAGACATGGACATTCGGCGGTTCCATTTTGTCATTTAGGTTGGGCTTGCCTTTAAATCGCGACAAAAAACGGTTGATTGTGCCCCTTGTCCACCCGTGCTCCTGGTTTTTCCGATTTCCCAAATCTACTGGAGGCCGGTGGATTTGGGGTTGGCCTCAATAGGGATCGGAACAGCCAAAATTGGGTGGTTTCCCTTTGCTTTCCCACAACCAACCCCAAAACCCCAAAAAGACCGTACCTCAAATCCAAGAATGTCTGTGTCTGCGTCTGTGTTCAAGTCCACCAGCGCGAGATGGGGTTCGAGGCCCCGCAGGATCCCCACAAATCGCGGGCTTTCCCCTTGGCTTCCCTTTAAACCCCCCCCCCCTCAAAAAATAACACTTTGTTTTCAACGCCCCCTTTTGGTGCTGGGTACCCAAAAGTCAGCCCCAAGGCAGTTCCACCGCACCCCAAAAGAAACACAGCACCCCCCCGGGCTCCGGGTGGCGCCAAAAAAAATCCGAAGGCACATGAAGGCGATGAAGGCGATGCAGGAGGGCCTCACCGCGGTGCGGGCGGAGGTGAAGAAGTCCCCGCCCCGGCGTCCGAAAAGAAAAAAACATCGACCGAGGCGTGGATAAATCTGCGGGGAAGCCAGCAGTTTTGTCGGGAAGCGTCAGTTCTTTTTGTTGTCAGGCATAGGTACTCGTATATGGGTAAGCCAGTAGTACAGTGAGAGCGCTGTATAAGAATCGGTTGGCAATCTCAGCCCCTCAGTTTCTTGTACAATGATTTCTTCTACAGTGCTTGGGCTGTGTTGGGGGGAAGCATCCGTTTTTGTTTTTTTGTTTTTGTTTTTTTTCAGCCATAGGTACTTGTAAGAATGGGTATGCCTAGCTGGTGCCAAAGGTGGTATCACATGTTTTGCTTTTTTGCTGGTGCGTTAGGTAGGGGCAGGGCAACGAGTCCGGGTGTTGGTTGAATGAATCGGTTTTGGGGATTCCCGAAGAAAGGACACCTTTGCGACCTTAGGGGATGATTTATAGGGGTCCTCATTTCCTGCTGAGAACCAGGAAGTTTTGGCACAGGTATATCATCGCTACTTTGTCATTTTTAAGGAATCGGATCCTCAAATGGGTTGGTTGTACTTTGGGTTGGCCAAAGGGGCCTCAGTTGGCCTGTGGGAGTTTCTCAAAGTGTTGGTCCCGCTTTTGGCTGGCGTTTAAAGGAAACCCAACGATTTTGGGCGACCTTTTTGAGAAGCCTCAACTTGACCCGGGTTTTGCTTCCCCGCCCCGGGTCGCTCGGGGCTCAGTTGGTGGGTCCAAGGCTGGGCGAGATGGTGGAGGTCGCCCAGAAATCCCATACCCCACCAGACGAGGAGAACGAGCGCGCGCGCGCGCGAGCACGCGGCCGTGAAGGGAACAGGGCCCATTGAAAGACGGATTTTGGGCCAGGCAAAAGAAAATCACCTTGAGATCAGCTAGAGGATTCCAGGTACAAACACCTGAAGCTGATCTTCTCGTACTTCGGATAGTTAAAACAAACGCTTAAGTTCCAGCTGATGTGGAGGATGTTCTGGTTCAGGTGCGGTGTTGGATGTAGACCCCCGTTGCAGGCTCAAAATGAAGTTGGGGCGGGTCGGATCCTAAAATATGTCATATATTTTATTTTAGTCCAACCCCCTTTTTCCACTAAAACTCATTTTGGCCTCTTTGGAAAACCCTTCAAAGTTGGACTGAACTCATTTCAATTTAACCTGAGGCAACCCGCTTCTTCCCCAGGAAGAGTTGGACCCCCTTGACTGTTTATCCAAAAATAAAATGTACTGCGTTTTGTCCAACTTGGACTGTTCAAACCAAACCCCCAACATGAGGTCAACATAAATCGTGATTTGTCAATTTATGTTCTGTCAAAGTTGGACTATTTCATGTTATTTTCCAATAAGGATGGACTAACCCTATTTTATCTGATCAAATGGAGGGGGGTTCAACCTTGTCTGGAGCCTCTGAGGGGGGTATGTAGTCTTTCAGGAACCCTGAACACGCACTTCACACGTCCAGTCGCTCAATGCCATGGACCATTCTGTATGCTTACCTCTTAAAAACACAAAGCTTTTAGTAACTTTTCGGGGGCAACATGGGCTTTTTCTGTCTGTAAAAGATGAGAACTTCCCCAGGGCGCAGGGAGTTTTAAGGGGTAAGCTGAGTGTTTGCTGGGTATGTGGGTGCCCTTGGGCCCTGTATCAGAGCCTTGCGCAAGCCTTCCTTCAAGAAAATTATGTTGATCTGAGCGCGTCCCCCGCACCATTTTAACACCATGGTTGCATCGATCTGTGCATCCATCCACCCACCCATTGTCCGTGTCTGTCCGTCCGCTCAATCCGTCCGGCCTTCGGCTCCCCTCCATCCCTCCGTCCCTCCTTCCCGTCTGTCAGTCTGTCCGTCTGTCCGTCCATCCATCCACCCACCCACCCATCCATTGGTTCATCCATCTATTGATGCACCCATCTATGGAGGATGGACATGCCTCGCGTTTGAAATGCGCTCGGCTCAAGCAAAAGCTGAAGGCAGGGATCTTCAGCTTTTGTCATTCGCCCATTTCAGCGTGAGGCAGAGTTCCCAAGTTCCCACTTCTCACTCCCTGACCTGAGTTGTAGTGCTGAAGTCCTGAGGGTGTCCCTTTGAATCCTGAGGGTGTCCCTTTGAATCCTGAGGGTGTCCCTTTGAATCCTTTTCAAGCTGTGAAGAGTAACTCACTACCGATCGAGTTCTGGGAGTCGGACTTGATCGTCACTTTTTGGGTTGCTTTTGTGGGCCCATCCTCTCGATGAAAAAATGAGCCAGGGAACCTTCCAGTGCAACGATCGCAGTCCTTACTTTAGTTGGGGTTAGAAATTGACGGGGTCCAGTGGTTTAGTTTGGTTTTAGGCCCCACTTACCAGCGAAACCCATCTATTTGTCCAAAAGGACATGCTTTTTGGGACCACAGTGGTTGCAATTCCCACCCCGTTTCTAGTCCCATCGGCGTCAAGCCACCGGCCAAGCACTGTGAAGGACGAGACCTACAAGCAGCGAGAGGCAGGAGTTACGGCTGCCGCATGAGATTGAGACTGGAGTTCTGGGCGAAACAGAAAAAAACAACAACAAAAACACGACCTCGCCAGAAAAAAAAAGAGAAAAGTGGCGACCTCACACAAGCGTTCCTTTTATGGGAAGCCCATTTTTGGGCGTAGGTGAAACAAGTTTGAATTCAACCCGGAGATTGTCTGAAGATACGCCTGGCAATTAGCACCATTGACAAGACCAGTGGCAGGGACAAGACCAGTGGCACTTGCGAATCTTATATACCCATGATGACAAGTGGGCTCATCTGGAACGAGCTCAGCCCTAGCTCAGTGGTTGGCGTATATCCAATTGTGGGCATGGATCTTGCAGCGGTTGGACCATTCGGGGTCAAGGGATCAAAGAAGCCCTTTCAGTCTGAACGCCCGGCCCTTTGCAACCTCAGATAGTCAACACATGTTGTTGCTTGTTCTTATCAGCTGTCACATACCCCTCAATCATGGAAAGGCCAAACAATTTACGTCTTCCAAGGAGGTCCTGGGAGCTTCCATGGAATCGCCTGGAGGCTACTTGTGTGGACATCATGTTTCTTTGTTTCTGTCGGGCGACCCTGTCCAATCTGAGCTCATCAACTCACCTTTTGAGTTCCTGGACTTGAATCACTTATGGCAAAGTCCATTTTAGTTGTTATGTTGTTTTAAATGAAAACCCAATGTAAATACAAGGTTCGGTTACTTGTGTGTTACAAATCTTGCAAATGCACATCGGAAGCGAGACACCACGTGCAGGCAATGGCTCCAAGCGTTTGTGCCGGCCCGCTTGCTCACCCAAGACGTGGGGATAATTTACAAGAAGCCGAGGAGAATGTGCCTCTGGGTGAATGTCCCCCTCCAGTGTTTCGACCGGGTCCATTTTTTGAGAGTGTTTTTCAATGTGAAAGAGGGAAGCTAAAGGGGAACCGGGCCGGATTCCCTATGTAACCTCCTCCAATCATGCTGACCATCGGAGGGGTTTGGAAAACGACTGCCCCTTTTGGGTCCACTTCCCCAATTGTTAGAACGAGGGCAAACTATCTCGGACGTCTTTTGGGGAACCCCTCTTCCTTTTTTGGACAGAGGGTAGCCCTAACGGCCCACTTGGAGCGTCCAACCCAAGGTTCACTCAGAAGATCCAAGGGATTCGGCAGGAGCTGGGATAGGGGCTTTTCCACTCTCAGGTATTCCCATGCTGGGGGATTCCATTTCACTAGCCCCGTAAATTCGCCCCCTTCGGCTTTTGGGTTTGCAGGGTTTAGTGGGGGGGTTCCATTTCACCCGCTAGAAGTTAAGCTTTTAGCAGGGGGCCGACTTGCATGATTGGAAAGGGAGGGGGCACCCCCTAACTATCGTGCATATCCCATTTGGACCTTTAGTCCATTGTCCAAACCCCTGGGTTGCTGGACCCTTTGTAGCAACAGGAAATAGACCAACGCCCCCCCCCCCCGCCCCCCTCCCGTTTGTGCGAAGTCCCGTCAGGTCCTGGCACTGAAGGCACAGGTGGGAGATCTTCAGGAGCAGGCTGGCAGGGGGCAAGAGCATTGCTCGCTTGCTTGCCTGCTTGCTTGCTGGTTTGTTTGTTTTTTCTTGTTGTTCTTGTTTTGTTTTGTTTGCTTTGTTGGGTCTTGCGTGGTTTGCATGTGGTGGGTTGTTTTGGGTTGTTTTCGGCCACAAGCAGTGCTGTTTACTGCCTGTGGTGACCACATTCTGGAAGCCGAGCTCTTTTTGGGCCCCTCGTCACTCGTCTTTTCAGTCTCCGTTTTTTGGGGTGCCTGAGAAAGGGGCTGGAGCAGCAGAATCTCATTCCCAGCCCAAACGACCACATGATGGGAACCCCCCTTGCCCAAAGCGAATCGACCGCATCTGACCTTTTAGTCTCTCGTTTTCGGCTCCCATCTTTCGTCACGGCCTCAAAAAAATCCGATCCTTTGCATTTCTGGGTCCAAGCTGGGCGGACGCGCCCTCACCAGCCTCACCCCAACCCTCACCCTCACCCAACCCCTCGCCTTTGTCAACCACCCTCAACCCAACCCCCCCCACCCCAACCCCCACCCCAACCCTCACCCCGCCCCGCCACCCCCACCATGGCTCGCTCCAGGTGACCCTCACCCCCCGCCACTGCCACCCCATGGCTCGCGGAGCACCAGGTGACGCAGCTGGTGATCCGCGGCCTCGAGGAGCGCTTCGCCACTCTCCGCGCAGACGTGGCCCGGGAGGCGCCGAGTCGAGCGCTCGAACCGGCGCTGGAACCAGCGCCGGGTGGGTGGAGGGGTCCGAAGGGGTTTCCCGGGTTTGGGGGGATCCCCCCAAAATGGGTTTTGGTTTTTGTCTTAACTTGGTGGCTCCCTGCCATCCCCTTAGCTTGTTGGCTTCTTAGGGTTTAGTGGCAAGGACAGCCCAGTTAAGGTTTATTTCCATGTTCACAAGAAGTTTTTGGGGAAAAAATCAGGGGACGCCATTTCATTTCTTTAAGGGAAGCTCCGGAAGCGGCCGAAAGCGATCGTTTTAGAATGTTTTAGATCAACTTTGAAGGGGAACGCCAATTTGTTCGCAAATGGGTCTGTCAACTTTGTTTTGAGTTGGTAATTACCCCTTTTTGGTATGTTTGAAGGGGCACCAATCCACTTTGGGGGGTCCCCTAAATCAAGACAGGCCAAAACTTGGTGGAACACCTAGGGAAGTCAAACACCAGCCCTTTCAATTCATAAGATGATCCAAGATGACCAAGACCTACGGCCCCGAAACACTAGCCAGTTTTGTGGGAAATCCGGGGAACACTCGCGAAAAACGCACTGAAATAGGCACGATTTTCCGACAAAAGGCCTGAAGTTGTTCGGGTTCTTTGCATGGTGGGTGGGCCTTTCCATCGATGAATCGTTCGAAGGTTTCCTTGGCCATTTGGGTCGGCGAAAGGCTCGGGTTTGACGGGTGGTTTGCCAATTTTGGGTCTCTGGGAAGTCAAGGCTCACTCGTGGCTTGTTGGACCTGTTGGGCTTGTTGGGATGGTTGCCTTGGGCTTGTTGGGCTTGTTCTGGTTGTGGTTTGATTCAAAGAGTTCGGCTGACAAACTTTTTATATTTTGAGCGTGGGTGGGTGGCGTAGTCTTGCCGGCAAGAGAGGTCGAATCCTGGGGGCCCATCGCTCTGCGCGCCGCAAAAAATGGGTGGGCACGAAGGCACGCACTGAATTTGGGGCGACGCGCTTTTCAAGTTGAAGACCATTTTTTAGGTTCAGAAAAAAAGGAAAATACAAACAACATGGGGTCGCTTGTGGGCCAATCCACTACCCCCCCAACCAAAGTGCCACATGAGTCTCGCTTCAGGTCACCGCCGCCGTGAGGGAGACGAAGGAGAATTGGTCAGGCGCGGGGTGTCTCATGTCGGCCGGGGGCGATAGGCGAAGAATGGGTCGGTTGTTTTTTTTTTGGTACCTGGTTTGAAAGGGGAGCCCAAAGGAACACCACCTTTTTGGGGAGGAAACCAACACTTGGCCCGGTTTTGTCCAATTTGACTTCCCTGTAAAACCGTCCAAGGGGCTGGTTTTCTTACACGTTTCTAAGTAAGCCACACATCACACTTGTAGGGCTCTTTCGTTGTGATCTGGTCACTCACGTGAGGTAGCACTAATTACGCGATGGGCCTCCGTAGAGCATGGGCCGTTTTTGTCTCTTTTTCACTCCCTCAATTCCTGGACTCGAAGTTTTTTGGGGAATTCCTTAGTTCTAGGGATACCTCCCCCATTCTTTCCAGGGATCCTTCTTTCTATTACAAGAGTCTGGTGCTTTGGGGGGGGGTAAGGCCACAAAGCATTCATATGTATATATGACCATGTATACATACATATATATATATAGATAGAAGGAGGAGGAGGAGGAGAGAGAGAGAGAGAGAGAGAGAAAGAGAGCATGTTTCCTGTAGCAGTGGTTTGCCGTGGGCCCATGGACCAGAAATTGCATATGGTGTTGCCAATATCGGCCCCCAGTGTTTGTAACACATTTGCGTGGCATGGCTTTCGCATACATCGAGCTTACCTATGAACGTCCCTGGCGTAAAGCTAGCTTTAGTTCAGGCTGGCAGAGGACGATCGTCAAGTAGAGAGGGCAGTTTGACTCTGCGTTGCTGGTGCATTTGAGGGAAATTGCCACAAGATGTAGGGGGACCACTTCATGTGGTTGGTGTCCCTTTGGTTTGCCTGTAAAACCATCCCAACAGGGGTCCATTGCCTGTTTTGCGACAGACCCATGTAGATTTTTGTGGTTGCCGCTTGAGTCTGGTCAAGTGTTGCGTGTGGGCCAATGCTGTCAGTTTGCATGAGGAATGCCCCAGAAATGGAGATCTCCAGGGGACGAAATCCCTCCCACAATTCCATTGTTTAAGATACTGTGGATGGACGAAATCCATTTCGCACCACACAAGAAACCCTAGAATGATAATTCCCCTGCAAATACCAACAAACAATGGTTTACCATTGTTTCAAAGTGGTGCAGCTTTTCGTCCACAGTATTTAAGGGTCCTGGAGGAAAATCCGCCACAAAACCAAGAGGGAACCACCAGGTGGGCAAAAAGCACAAAACTCGCACTCCCAGCCGCTGCACCAAGGGTCTTCGCTGTTCGAGACTTCCCAGTCCAGCATGGGGATGTCTCCTTCCTCACATGGAACCTAAGGTGTGCCCCATAGGTTTTTTTTGGGGGGTGGGATCCGAAAAATGACGGTTGTCTTGTTGGTTTCCCTTTGAATCCACCAAAAAGGAGCTACACTCGAAAAAAGACACCCATATCTTTGTTTTCCGAGCAAGGCCATTTTGCAGCACCTGCTTCTATTTACACTCACAGGTCATGTGAATGAAGTGGCTTGCATTTGCATCGTGCAGTTCAATTGGGAAGACTGCCGGCTTTGAGTTATCATTATCAACTAACAAATATACGTATGTAAATGTTTGCACTATATATTTGCATATATATATATAGTCTTTCTTTGGGGTACCCCTGTTTTGGATGGTTTTAAAGGGACACCAATAGGAAAACCGTTGCGCCATTTTGTGCTACGTGCTGTGGATGGACGAAATCCATTTCGCACCACTTTGAAACCATGGTTGAAACCAAGAGGTTTGTTGGTACTTACGTTGGGGAATCGAATCATTGCGCTAGGTTTGTCTTAGAAAGGTGGTGCTTTGGATGGATTTCGCAACCGTCCACAGCAAGAGCGACGATTTTTCCATGACCCGTAAAATATGAGGTTACCCACAATGGGTGGAGCTAATCATGGGTCATGGAACATAATGGGTTTCACGACTATTTGTACCTGGAGTTGCCCAAAATCATGGGTCATGGACCCATGTTTCAAAGGTCAAAAGGAGTATGTTTCCTTCCTTGAATCCGAAGCCTTTCGCTTCCGACTTCGCCAGCTGCCTCCCGGCGCATCTCTGCGCTGGAGGCACGAGGGGACTTGGATTTTGTATGGACCAATGACTCAAGATGAGCGCGTCTTCTTGTTTGAAGGGCACCCCCCCTATGGTGGACACTTAGGGTCTCTTTGGCAACTTTAGGGTTCTTGGCTGCAACATAGACTCTAAGTGTGCGTGGCACGGCACCCCTCTCTCCATGTTTTCGGGTTTTCAAAGGGAGACCCGAAAGGAACACAAGTCATTTTCAGGGTGCCGTAAAACAACACACACCCGGAGCCTGGCAGGAAGAGTAAGTGCAATTGCGTTCCAACTAAAGTTCTGCCCAAATCAGACGAAGTCATTACCATAGCCCAAAGTTGCCCATTTCGGGGACCGGGGGACCTTTTGTCGACCCGCCCGGTGTTTTGGACGAACCAAGAGGTAGAACGTCTTCAATACGCCGCAGTTTTCTGCCGGCCGTTTCTTCGGGAAACCCTGATTTAGAGATTGTAGAGTTTTTATTCGCCAAAAGAATACACTGCTGAAAGTCTAAGAAGATGGTAGGTGCAGACGACCTCTTTGACTATTCAGATGTTGGGTAGACTCCACTACCAAACATTGAGTTCTGATGAATCCCAACATGGGTTTCTTCCGTGGGTGCAGCCTAACCACTTCCGTTCAGAGGATCGGCTTTTAGTTTGGTTGTAGTGCTCTAGTGCTATTTGTGCCTGGTCCTTCCTTTGAAGGACCCCCAAAACTTGAAACCAACCTCTTAAGGGGCTTCCCACAAAAACAGACACCCCTCCGGTTGTGTCTTCTTTTTAGAGGACCCCAAGAGTGGCGGTTTTCCTTTTGGTTCATAAAAAAGAACAGAAAAAAGACAAGGCTTTCTCGACAAGAATCCAGAAACAACAAGGCTCCCTTGACGCAATTCCATAAAAAAGCAAGGCTTCCTTGACACAATTTCAAAAAAGGAAAAGGTTCCCTTGACAAAAAAATCCATTAAACAAAAAAAAGGTTCCCTCCACAAAAGGCATACCACCCCCGTTTTTCATCGGAGATGAATCGATGGCCAGCTGGGTCGAGGCTTGGCCTGCCTCCCAAGCGGAGCTCACGGCGGAGGTGCGCGGACTGTTGGCAGAGCACCGGGAGGCGCGACCGGAGCCGATTTGGGGCTGTGGCATCGATGCCTTGGCGTTGGCAATCTTTCACCTTTGGGTCTAAGGAATGTCCGTTGGGAGGTTCATGGTTGTTGTTGGGAATCTTGTTTTTTGTTTTGCTTGTTGTGGTTTAGTGGGTGAAATACAACCACTGAACTGCGAAAAACATGAATTTTGCTCCCCTTCCAACGTCAACCAAGTAAAGCTCACTCGCTAAGTTCATGGACTTTAGTCGCTTTTTAGGTTTGGAAATGGTTTGGACCATTGTGGTACACAAAAACTTTGGGGACTTGTTTCGGCCAGTCTACAGCGGAAGTGAGGGAAAGAAAGGCGCAGAGCCCAAGAAAGCACCAAAAGGCCCCATGGGGGGCCGTCGACCAGAGGAAACCACTTCGCTGAGTGCACATGTGATGAAATCCGTATGTACAGCTTCGTTGCTGTGCATGTGTGACATGACCTCACCGAGTTTCAAAAGGAGATTGTAGATTCTCTAAAGGTGGCTGCTTCCAAGGTGGCAAGAGTAATCTTTTAATGTTGGAAATTGATTGTGTGAACCGTCCCGCTGGGCTCAAAGGAAACGCCAGCAGAACTGCTCATCGCCGGTCCGGCGGTCGCCAAGACACCGAGTGTAGCGGTACGCGCTTTGTCTTTACCCATCATGGCGATGGAATCTCGGTTGCGACCAGACTTTATCTTCAGCCACGAGCCCCTTTCATGCCTTTTGGTTTAAGGGGTTCCCCTTTAGAACATCAACTACCAAACAAGGGGCGCCGACCTTTTTCCCCATGCTCTGCTCTGGTGGGATAAGGGTTTTCCAAAGGAAGCTTGGTTTTACCTTCTGCCTTGTTTGGTGTGTCCAAACATTGGGGTTCCGCTTTGGAAGGGTGTAAAGGTCCCTTTGTTGCAAGCATCCCTTTAGAGGGCCGTGTCTACACACGTCCCATGCTTTTGGTGAATAAATGGGAAACCAGGGAGGCTGAGCCTCATGATTTCCAGGAAGGGGTGCCCCCCATTTTGACGTGGCTCGTCTTTTTTTGGGTGGGTTTCAAAGGGAACCCACAAGGACAGCCAGTTTGGGAATACATCCCGCATTTGGAGACCTGCCAAGGACTACATGACAGCGCAGGTCTACACGGAGAGCATTGACAAGGAGATGAAGCCACTCTTCAGCATTCTCCCTCTGGTTTCCTAACCTATGGTTCCTAACCTGGCTTCCTAACTTCCAGTTGCTGAGCTGAATTGCTTTTTTGACCTGGTTTTAAAGGGAACCTTCTCTGTCTGGAACATATATTCATCTTTGTCCAGGGCACTGAAGCAAATGGAGGCTAAGGTGTCCCAACATGGTTTTCCGTGTTTTTGCTGTGGTTTCGCAGTGGTTTGCTATGGTTGGAATGCTTTGCATTCCACGCAAAGAGTCAACCCTTTCTTATGCGCACGCTCTCGTTTTTGTTCTCAACCCAACGCGTGCGGGATGCGCATGTTTAGGCTAGGCTGGTCTAAGCTCTGGATCGAGAGTCGGGTTGGACAAACCAAGGATACTCTCCCACCAGCTTTTGGTTCATTTGGCAAGTGACTAGTCTCCTCCCCTTCAACATAAATTCACCCATGCTTTCTGGTTGGTTTATTTGAGCAACATGGCAGGGCATCCGTAGTTCAACGCCTCAACGGGTCCTAGGGAAGAAACCGGGAGGGTTCCTGAGTTGAAACCAAGGTCACGGAAAGGGTCAATAGCAGCCAGAATTTCCGCTTCGGGTTAGACGTCACCCAAAAGGGCCAGTTTCCTTGTGGGTTTGGGATGGAGAAAAGCTGGGGATTGGTTTGGCCACATTTTCAAGCACGTCAAGCTCTCCAAGTCTTGCTCGACCGTTTAAAGGCCGGCCTCATGTGGCCATGGGTCAAAATCCAAATCGTACCCCGCAGTGAGCATCCCAATCCAACCACTAAAATAGTTTCTAAAATGGGTGGTGCCCCACCAATCCCCACTAAAATAGACCAACATGGTGAATTCATCTACCACCAAATGGGACCCCAAAACGGTTTTGACCACAGCCACCTCGAAGCTTCGCTGCGTCGCGTAGGCTCTACAAGCGGATCCGGGAGCAGCAGCTGGCGAAGAAGGCCCAGCAGGAGGAGGCCCTGGGCCTGGTGGCGCCTTGCCGCAGTTGGGTCGGGCCGGTGAAAAGAAAAGAGACCCGGGGGCCGGTGAGTCCTGTACGCCCAGAGGGTCCCTTGGTACCTCCTGAGGATGGCTTTTGGCTTTTGGGGGGGCCCCCCAGGGGTTGATTCCTTTTCCATTCTTTTCAAGCATCGTTCTTTTTAAAGGCCTGCCTTTTTTCCCTGGGTGTCTGGAGGTTTTCGGAAAGAAGGATGCCTGGAAAGAATGGGGCAGGTACCCCTAGAGGGGCGGTGAGTCCTGTATGGGTTGTGGCTCCAAGATGGGGGGGCGGGGGACGGGACGGGCCAAGAACAAAGCCAAGTGCAGCGAGCAGGGGGATGGAGTACCTGAGGTGCAGTAGCCGCCATGATTGGAATCTGACGCCTTGCATATTTTGTTGATGCTGGTGATGGCTGGTTTTCCTTTTGGTTTCCGTTTAGAAGAACCAGAACTGAGCCTCAAAGAAGGACGAGCCACCCAATGTTTCCCTTTTGGGTGGGGTTAAACACCTTGGCCCACAGGTGAGTTTGTCTAGGGAAGTCAGTACCGTTGATCTGGCTGGTGTGAAAGGAAAGGGAAAGCCTATCTTGGCGTGGTGAATTTTGCCGGATGTGTTTTGTGGTCTCTTTGGGATATGGGGAAATTCACGAAGTTTCCCCACGCACACACCCCAGCAATGCACTGAATATCCCATGCCTGTTTCAGACACAAGAAACCGGTAGGGGACCATGAAACACCAGGAAGTACTGTTGTCCGTTGCTTGTGTGTCAACAGTAGAATTCAATAGAGTTGATGTCCAATTCTTTCGAATCGCTGCCCAGGGTGTTGCAGGTGTTTTCCTGCAACACTGGCTGGAAGTTACTCCCAGAGTTCTGGTTGGGTATTTCCCTTAAGCTGTGACTTCCTGTACACCATCCAAAGAGGGGGGTCTTGCTTCGAAAAAACAACAACAATTGTCTGTGAATCACATGAAATCACCACCCCACAAATTAGATTTCCCCAGCAAAAGGAACCTTCATCAAGGACTTTCGGGCGCACAACTCTGTGACTTCAGCGTGCCTGGACTTTATGCCTTTTTTGGATGAGCGTGCCAGTGGAAAACAAATAGTCCAGACTTCTGGGCCAACTGGGAAGTGTGTAGAACAGAGACCAGTTGACATGGCTGGTCTTGGTGTAAGTGTAGCCGATTTGATGAGACCTTGGGACAACAATTGTTTTCCATGAAGCCTAGAAACATACTACACCAGCATAAACCCCAGATAGCGAGCAACTGCACCTGCACCAGCACCCCACACTGCATGCCTGGCCCTGCCGTCAATCTCGCAACAATGCGCCCGCACCGTCCCCAGCACCTCCAACAGCACCGCAAGCAGCACCTTAGACCTTTTGCTCGGAAGGGGCTTGCAGCAGCCCAGTTGAAGAAGAGGACACTCATCCGGAAGACTCTCTGAGGCCAAGACCATCGTCTCAGCGCCGAAGCACAAATCGATGCTCAGCCGAGAAAGGGTCCGTGTGATTTAGGGATCCTTTCGGGGTTAGTTTAAAGGGAAGCCACAAGGAAGAAAAACGTATTTTGAGGTTTCCCTTTTTACATGGCAAAAGAAACACACTGTTACCTTTATGGACTCTAAGGATTTCGGACCACCATTGTGAGGATGTGTTTGGGGTTCTTGGCCAGGCATGACCAAGAGAAGGAGTTCTGGCCCCTGTCAGTTTCTTGTGGTCATATTGCCAGGCATTCATTTCACTGACGAACTCCTGGTGACCATCCTGGACCGATCATGTCAAGCATGAATTTTCCTGAGATAAGCCTTCGAACACGCACACTTTCATGATCGCTTGCGCTGTGTCAACTTCTCTGGGCAGCCATGACATCATGCAAAATGTAAGCAAGCCAGGAAACCATGATTATCACACGAAGTTGAAACGAAATCAAATTTTAACCCTAGCACCTTAGCAATGGCAATGCCTTGGCTGGTCACATCTGGTCAGCTTGTGTTGCAATGGCAAGAGCCCCGATTTGTTTGGAAGATGTTCGCCAGCCCCTCCCTGCATGGGCGTTTCCTTTTGTAGCCCCCCCTTTTCCCCCCCCCCCCGGCCCCACACCAAACAGAAAACGTGGTTTTCCTGTTCTCACTCCCTGAGTTCATGGACTTTATATACTTTTTGGGAAGACCATTTTGGTGGTAAACAAAAAGTTTGGACTTTTTTTGGCCCATCAACTCAGGAAGCGAGTGTTGGTTTCCCTTAAAACACCACGAAAAACGGGGGAAAGACACACACGCATCCAGACCCACCGAAAGCGACCCCCCTCTTCCGAGGTGCACAGTGAGCCAGCGGCTTGCCCGCACGCGAGGTCTGGCCACGTTTGGGATACGCTGGACATGTGGATCCTCACGTAAAGGGAATCGGCCGGACTCTGACCTTTTGGTTTTTTCCTTGTTGGGTTCCCATCTTTAATGGCCCCAACAGGTGATCAGCTTTGACTTCCGGGTCCAAACTGGGCAATGAAGAGAATTTCCAAGAGTAACCAAGCTTGGGGAAAGGCATGCGGCTGGAAAAGCTGCTTCAATTGAGGCCACACGGTTGGCCGTGCTGTGGTTCATAGAACCGCTATGAACAGTGTTCATTTCGCTTCAAACTAAGGGTTCGCACACTTCCTTCGTCAAGCATCCCCACATTTTGCGCCAATATGGTTCTTGGTATTTACAGGGGAATCATCATTCCAGAGTTTCTTAGGTGCGAAATGGACTTCGTCCATCCACAGTATGTGCCATTTCAAGGCGAGTTGCCATTGGATCGGGTGTCGTACTCAACAGGGAGGCAGGGAGGTCGTC